TTGGCAACACAGTATGCTGACATCATTTACCTTATAACAAAACCTAAGAAAACCAGCTTTACACATCTCTGCTTTTATGACACCTTCATCTGTGTCATTGGTGTGAGAGGGTCTTTGTCTGCTGGATGGACAGACAGGGATGGACACATACACACACCCCATCATGCTGGGTGGGTGTCAGTCCTTGAGTTGATGGGTCCCAGAGAGACAGAGGGCCTAGGGGAGATGGGGCTAAGAGCAGTGGCTGGCTTTCAATCTGATACAGAGTGTCTTATTATCTGTCAGCCATGGAAACTGTCTAAGTATTGGCCTGTACCTCCCTACCTGCCCTCCTGACTGCTGGCTTCCTTTTCAGTCCTTTGAACTTCACAGGCACCTTCCCTGCCCACTCCAACCCACTCAGGTGCAGAATACAGCTCCGTAAGCCACTATCACACATTCTTACCCAGCAGTTCAAGCAAGGGATCTACCTGCTTTGAGGTCTACTCTTCTAGGAGGCAGCAGGAAATTGTAAATTATACAAATTCTGCTTGTCTCAAATAATTTGTTAAAGAAGTCTGTTAAATGTCTAAGGGGCTGGAGGTATGGCGCAAGCTGTAGAGCACCTGCCTTATAAGCATGAAGGTCTGGGTTCAAGCTTCAGTACTGCCAAAAGAAAAGAAAGAAATGCCAAAAACTCTGTTAATGGTTGAAAATCCCAGATAGCACATTGAGTGCTCTGGATATCTTGTCTCTGATTTGGGCTGCTTCTCCAGAGAAAGGCTGGAATGAAGAGGTGGTGGGGATGAGATACAAAGCTATCTTTGAAGCCTTTGAAGACTGAGCCCAAAGAAGCCTATAGGACTGAGGCAGCTAGGCCTGCCTTCACCCAGGGTGCTGGATTGCTTGTCTGGGCAGAGCCTTGGGCAGGATACTCCATTCCTTGGGACTCAGTTTCCTAATTGTTGAAAACAGGCTAATATTTGCCTTGATAGACTGAGATAGCATGTAAAGTTCAGTGATCATCTTTCTTAATGATTACTTACTTTTGTTTATTTTCTGGTTTTGCTATGTAGTAGCTGATTTCTTTCCAATTATTTACCTTATTATTTTGAAATAGTTATAGATTCACAGGTAGATGCAAGGAAATGTACAGACAGTCCAGTGCTTCCTTCTCCCACCCTCTCTCAGTAGTAGCAGTTACACAACCAAGCACAAAATCAACCCTTGGACATTGACATTGATGCAGTCTCTAGAGCTTATTCAGGTGTACTACTTTAAATGCACTCTGTGTGTGTGTGTGTGTGTGATTCCGTGCAGTTCCATCACATGTGCAGCAGCTCTCTGTAACCATCGTCACAAGTGAAGACATTCACCATACCGTCACCATCACAGATGCTGTAAGCATTCATGTACAAGTTTCCAAGGGAAGCAAGTCTTTACTTCTTGGGGCTGAGTATTCAAAAGTGCAGTTTCTGGTCTACATGGCAAGTTCATACTGTTCCTTTTTATTTCATGGCTGGTGATACTATCACTGATATATCACTGAATACTATCAGTGATGAAGGAAGATTGCAACTGAAGGGATTTCTGACAGTAAGAAATAGGTATCAAAAACTTAAGAAGAAATGGCAGCTTCATTTGTGTACACATTGGCTTTCCTTTCTCTCAAGGAGTAAGATTCCAAACCAACTAAATGCCTTTGATAGGGCAGAGAATGAGTAGCAGATTGTGGAAGGGACACAGGAGTGATCACAGGTGGCTAGAACAGAGGACACAATTGCAAGTGTTAGAGGTTCATGGTGGCACATTTGATTGCAGGCTATTTCTTTCAGATTGAAACCCTGATTCCTTCTTCTGACCTCTCGCATTACACCTATCCATTCCTTTGCAGGGTCTTCACCTGTGCTCAGACCCTGCCAATGGCAGCTAAGGTGTGTTGTGGGTTTGGTACTGCATTATTGTGTGTAATCCTTCCCTAACCTCACAGAGGAGGCACCATTATTACTGTTGTTGTTGTTATTGCAGTGCTGATGATTGAATCCAGTGCATGAAGAGCTCTACTACTGAGCTACATTCCCAGCCTGAGGCACCCTTATTATCCTCATCAAGTATTGAGGAAAACGAGGCTCAGAGAGCTAAAGGACTTGCCCAAGGATGAGCTGGATGTTTAGCCAGACTTAAGAGCTGGCACTTTCAACCATAATTTTATGAGGCTTTCCTCATTGCAATGGTAGATCGTACCTGGAATTTAAGGTGCCATTTAAACTGTTATCCCTCCCATGTCATCTAATTAGTTCTTATATTCCTAACTTAGTGTGTCAGCCCTGTGGTCCCTTCTCTGGTAGCCCAGGCTAAGTCAGGTCACCCTAGGGCATGTCCCTAAGCACTGGTGCTTCTCACATAGTCTGCCATATTCTGAGTCTGCCTCCTTGGACTGTGAGCACAGTGCAGATATGGATGCCATCCTCTGCTGCCCTGATTGTCCACCACTTGCAGAGTGCTGTTTGCTCAGTAGTGACTGCCGAATGAACCCCGTGAATGAGTGAATGAATGACATCAGATATGAATATTTGGGGCTGGAGAAGTGGCTCAAGTGGTAGAGCACCTGCCTAGCAAATGTGGCCCTGAGTTCAAACCCCAATACTGCCCCCACAAAAAAGATGTGACTATTTATTAGGTTTATTGAGGTATTTATATCAACCTTAATAACTTACTACTTACATTGATTTTATTGAGGTATTTTTACATATAGTAAAATTGCCTCATTATAACTATATAATTCATTGAGCCTTGACAAATGTGCATAGTCAAGTAAACACAGCCACAAACAAGATAAAGGATATTTCCATTACTATAAAATTCTCTGTACCCCAGTCCCTAGCAACCACTGTCCTGCTTTTCTGTCCCTATAGGTTTGCCTTTTCTAGATTTCAGATCAATGGAGTCATACAGTATATAGTCTTTTATGGCTGTCTTATTTAAGTTGGCACAATGCTTTTGAGGTTTATCTCTATCGCATGGGTCAGTAGTTCAGTGTATGTTTTTAAAAACCACTTTAAATATTTTTTAGAAATAACCCATAAATAAATAACTGGCCTTATTAAGGTTTAGACTTGATATGGTGAGAGAAGTAGTTCTCCAAGCATGCTCTCTGTACTTGTGGGCTTGCTAAGACCCTTCAGAGGGTATGTAAGACGAGGTGATTTTCATTATATTGAGATGTATTTGTCCTTTTCCTTTAGTCTAAGTGTAAGGGAAGTTTTCCAGATGCTGTGTATCATGTGTATTGCAATAGATTGAATGCAGAAGCAGCTAGGAGGATCCATCTGTATTCTATTGAGCTGTGTGGCTTAAAGAAATTTGTAAACTGGGTGTGGTGGTACATGCATATAAACCCAGCACTTGGGAGGCTGAGGTGGGAGGATTGTGAGTTCCAGGCGAGCCAAGCTACGTAATAAGGTTCTGTTAAAAAAAAAAACAAGGGCTGGGGATATAGCTTAGAGGTAAAGGGCTTGTCTAGCATGTACGGCCTGTGTTTGATCCTCAGCACCAGAAAAAAAAATTTGTGAAAATGTGAAGGCCACTTTTCTCACTAAAATTATTTGTATTGGAAAATAAAATTCTTTTATAACAAGTGTTATTTATACTAATATGTAATGGCTTTATTATTATTACTAGGTGAATTAATAGACATTTTTGTGTGCTGGGGGTGGGGCTAGGCAAGGGCCCTACTGTTGAGCTACATCCCCAATCCCTATAGACATTTTTAAATGCCTTAGTTTTAATTGCTTATATGAAAGTAATAAATATGAGCCATATAAACAGATGCTTTTTAGGGTACTCATCTTTTTGGTGTAGAGAGATCCTGAGTCTGAAAGTTTGAGAATCACTGGGTCAGAGACATTTTTGAAGGCACTGGGGAAGGGGTTGGGGACTTCTTGATACTGTTGAGGGATCAGAAAAGGGTCTTGACCCTGGATGATAGCCTGGCCTGAAAGGCCTGAAGAACAAATTTTATGGATGGGTCCTAGTGGAAATGCTAGGACAGGTCTTGACAGCCTAGTCTTGTTCTCAGCCCTCCTTAGTCTCCCAAGGACCTGGTTGGGCAGGTTCTGCTGATGTCCTGGCTGTACTTGCTTCCTGCTTCCTACGTAGAGCTAATGAGTAACTCATGACTGAGCTGGTTGGCAGAAGGGTGGCCAGGAGGCCCAGAGAAGCCACTCTTTGCTGAGATGAAGTGGCAGCGGGGGTCTGGTGTCAGGTGAGGTGTATTTTTTTGATAGCACTGGGGTTTGAACTCAGGGTCTTGTGCTTATTAGGCAGATGCTGTACTACTTGAGCCATGCTCCAGCTCTTTTTTGCTTGCTTGCTTGCTTTATTTATTTATTTATTTATTTATTTATTTAATTTCATATAAGGTCTTTTGTTTTTTGCCTGGGGCCAGCCTCAGATGTCTATCCTCCCAACTACAGTCCCCCTGCCCCGCATAGCTGGGATTATAGTTATGTACCACCATGCCTGGCTTTTTTGTTCAGTGGGATATTGCCAACTTCTTGCCTGGACTGGCCTCAAACTGAGATCTTCCCAATCTCTGCCTCCTGAGCATCTGGAATTACAAGCATAAGCCACTGTGCTGGCCAGATGTGCTTTCTGAAAGTCTGTTGTTTCTGCTGGATTCTTACCCAAGGGCAAACATAAGAAATCAACAGAACTGTTTGTTTGGTTTTCAGAAAAAAAAAAAAAACAACAAAAAACCACTTTCGCCCAGTATAGTTCTGAGCCCAAATTAAAAGATTAACTTTTTTTTTTTGGAAGTTTAGCAAAGGTTTATTTAGTAAAGTGGGGAGAAATAGAAAGGGAGAAAGGAGCATCTACCCACAGAAGAAGCTCCTCAATTATCCTAACAAAAGCAGGAAGTGGGAAGCTCCTTTTATTACTGGCAGTATCCCTCCTGTTTAGAGACTTTGCCAATGCTGTTAATAAACTGCGTTTGACTCTTAATTGCTTCTCTCTGGCAGGCGAAAGGGCCTGTGGTTCCGACTGAGGAAGATACTTCTCTGTGTTTTGGGGTTCTACATTGCCATTCCATTTCTCGTCAAACTATGTCCTGGGATACAGGCCAAACTGATTTTCTTGAATTTTGGTAAGTGCTTTGTTAATTTTCTTTGATTTTACTTAGTCTGTTCTCATGATGGTGTCTGGCTTTAATACGTCTTTTTATTTTAGTTGAGATTGAATTTACATGTAGTAAAATGTACAACTCTTAAGTGTGCAATGTGCAGGATGGTGGATAGAGCCACCAGCCAAATTGAGGAATAGCACATTTCTGTGACCCAGGAAGTTCCTGTGCCCTTCCCAATTGAGGGGTGGATGTTGTGATGATGGCCTTGCCCTCCAGTGCTACATTTGTGCCCCTGGGTGACTGTACTGCATGCGGGTGGGGGGGTTGCCTTTCTTGAGCTAAGGTGGATAAAGTGTTGACAATGTGAACAGTTGTCTGAGGCTGTCATGTTGGAGATGTGCTGTCACTAGTGCAGTCTTGGAGACTAATTGCCCTTGAGAATCATGACCACTGAAAAATATAGCATCTGTTTAAAAAAATTAAGGTCTGTTTCTTTTCTAAAAAAAAAAAAAAGTGTTTTTACAAAAAACCAAAAAACCTGACATGCTTTGATTTCTGTGGCATTTTGTGCTTCTCTAGTTGACTTGGACACTGCTGGGATTTTAATGTTTACTCCTGGAGAAGTGGGAAGAGATGAGGACGTTATAAGGAGAAGGCAGAGGGCTCCCAAGTGTGCTTGCTGGAAACTGTCCCTTAGTCGCATCATTTTATAACCCAAGATGTGGTGGGGGTGGGTCTGGAGGGCCTGCATGGATTTCCATGGGAATGATGGCCTTGGAAACCGCATAAGTCAGTGTCGGGTGGGATAAGGTGGGCTCCATGTTGGCTCTTGGACAGGATGGGTTTTCAGAGTGAGTTTGTCTGGCCTGTTAAGAGGAATAGGAATAGAGTAGTACTTAAATGCCTTGTAAATATAAACCATGGCCTTTTAATTTGGGCATTTAAAAAAACTGTAAAATATGCACAGTGTGTACTAAGGCATTTGATTTTTTTAATGGAAAAGTAGTCAAACTTCTAGAAATTTATAATCTCTTAAGTTTTGCTATTTGTGAGAAACACAAACTTAAAAAAGAAACTAACAGTATACTAAAATCAAGGGTGATTTTTTTTTCTGACTTTTATGTATTTTAAATGTACCTAGTACAGCACTGAAGAGTTTGGGATTATATGAAAACAGGAAGCCACAAGGGCTGCAGATTAGAATTGACTGGTGCAGTCCTTCCAGCTTTGCCTTCCATACTACCTTGAGCAGGAGCCTTTGCTTCTCCAGGGATGTGAACTGTACTTGATGGCAGGACTGGAGTGTGTTGTCCTCTGGGTTTGGCAACCTTGGAGTTTCCAGCAAAGACCTGAATTGATTTTCTTCAGCTCAATTATTTGGGCTACTTTAGGCACAGCCCAGTTTTGCTGTGCTAGTTCCTAAGGAGATGGAAAACTGTTCCATGCACACAAAACTTTGGGTTCTCCTAGTTTCATGACACAGAGGGGTGCTGTGCATGAGCTGTGCATCCCTGGGAGATGTCAGTTCTTAATGCTTTCCTTCCTGTGTTGGCTGCATGGGAGCAGGAGGCCCTGTGGCAGGTTTTGTTTTGTTTGTTTTTGCAGTGCTAGGGATTGAACCAGGGGCCTCACATGTGCTAGACAAGCAATGTCTGTACATCCCCAGACACTATGGCAGTGTTTTTAGAGGAGACTTTTAATTGTCAATAGAATAAAAATCTGCTTATGGCCTCTTCTTAAAAGTTACTCAAAACTCTGTCACCAACGAGCAGCATTGCTTGAGCAGTGATTAGGCATTCTCTGCAGCCCCACCCATATGGACACTAGCCTGGTACCCTTGCCACACTCCAGGCATCCTCTCACCAGGGACTGCCTCTCCTGGTCTCCATCTCTACCCCTTCTCGGGGAAGCCAAGGTGGCTCCCCTAGGAGGAAGGCAAGTTCTCTGCAAAGCTCAGCGCTTGTTGGTTTTCTAGTCTTAATGTTGGCTTGTTGATTTTCTAGTTGTAATGTGGTTAGGGTTATTTACTTATTTATTGGTGGTAATGGGGATTGAACTCAGGGCTTCACAGGCACTCTACCCTTGAGCCACATCACCAGCATGTGGCTAAGGTTTAAATGTCAGGGTCTATGGAAGGGGGGAGTTTTGCCTCAGGCTAGAGGAGGGCTGTGTGTGGGATGCCTCTGTTTTCTGTCTCCTCCAGATGGGAATCATGACCCTATGGCTGGCTGTCCATTTTGACTCTGAAGGAGGTATGACAGTCTTTTGGGCCCTTGAACATATCTTAAGCTAACAGTAACTCTGCCTGAAACCAAATTTATACGTGGATAAATAAGCTTTAAAAGAAACTTAGCACCAATGACTTAAGGCATTGCTGCCCTTCAAATAAATTTTCTTAAGCAAAAAATACATGATCTTTCTAAAAACAAACAAAAAATTTGCTGAAAAACTGAATAGCATAAGTAACAAAATGGAAGTCACACTGAAAAACTCTTTGTTAATGTAGTTTATTTCCTGCTGGTCTTTTTTGTGTGTCTGTTCTTATAAATGTATGTGCTTTTCAATACTTGGTGTTCCCAAGTCTGATTCCATCTCCACAATGTCTGGTGATGCCTGGCATCTGTGGTCTGGGAATCTAGAGCTCACAGAGAACCTTAGGCCTCTTTTGGGAAAAGGTTGGATTTATAATCCTTCTCCAGAGCAGTCCCTGTTAACTCTGACAGCTTTCTTTTCTTATTCCTTTGCTTCCCCTGGAAGCCCCTAAAACCCGTATCAAGTAATTGAAATTTGATGAAACTCAGATAACCTATTTATCCCCTTCTTTCTTTCTTTTTTTTATTATATTGTATATTTTTTGTTTGTTTATTTGCTTTTGGTGGGACTGTGGTTTGAACTTGTGACTTCATGCTTGCAAAACAGGTGCTCTAAACTTGAACCTCTCCTCCAGTCTATTTTGCTCTGGTTATTTTGGAGATTTTGGTCTCATGAACCATTTGCCTGGGTTGGCTTAAAATTGTTATCCTCCCAGTCTCAGGCTCCCAAATAGCTAGGATTACAGGAGTGAACCACTGGTGCCTGGCCCATCCCTTCCTTCCCTTATTGGTACCTTGCCTGGTAGGGGGCTGCTGTTATTCACAGTGGTAGAATGAGATGAAGCCCCCATATCAAGGGTCCTTAGCAAGTCACAAATGTCCATCACAGCTCAAGGCTTCAGCCTTTTACCCTATCAGATTATCTCCAGAGCAGCTAAAAACACATATGACAAAGTAGGTTATATCCCATAACATGAACATACTCATTCACTTGCTCTTTACTAAACACCTGTATGTATAAGACCCTTTCTAAATTGTGCCCAGGTGTTAGTAGTTGCTGATATATGATGACATGGCCAGAAGTGGGTGATGAAAAATTGGGGAAGAAGCCAGAGATCAGCAGCTAGATGGGTCCTGCTGGTCCATTGCCAGCACTTCACTGTTGTGCAGTGAAGCTCTGTTTAAGGTAAGCCTGTGAGAGAGATAGTAATGGGAGCTTAACCACATCCATGGAGCATGGAGGAATACCTGCCCAAGGGATCTACCCCCATGAAGATCTCCATGGACCATGGACATGTATTCTGCTCCTGCTCTAGTATGTAGATGAAGCAGGGGCCCAGGCAGGGTAGGCTCCAGCCAGCATCCCAGAGTCATGGGGGGCCACAAACAGTTGATGGCCATGGAGGATCTGACCATTTGGTAAGTCATGGTGTCCTGTGCTCATTCATCACTGGCCAGTAGGAATGAGCTACACTTATGACCTACGCTGATCCTTTAACCCTGCTTAGACCAGCTGTGCCTCATGCATACCTTCTCCTCATTCCCTTGCTTTGTGTCATTTCTACTTATGTAGACAGGTACCGGCCAGATGGTTCCTACAACCACTGCTCTCTGGGGCTGTTCCCTGGCATCAACCAGATTGCTGTCATGGAATCCTCAAAGTAGTCAGAGTGCTGCTGAGTATGAGAGGGCATGCATGTGGAATGATGTCTGCTGGATTGCAGAGCATTCACTGTGCCTTCTTTTTCACAGTTGACCCTAAATCAGGGATGAAAGTGAACTGGAAGATCAGCTTCCTGGAATAGAATAGAACACGACTTCTCAGTTCCTAAATTTCCTGGGCTCGGAAGCTCTCAGGATCAGCTACTGGTCCTCATTAACCACTTGACAGTGGCTAGGGAACCTCTCAGAGCTGCAGGGCAGTTTGTGTTTCAACACTAGCCTCCTTTTCCAGACACAGAACTGATAGAAGCGTGAAGCTGAGCTCTCAAAGCCCAGGTGCCTCCCCTCAGTGACCCGGCTCTCCCTTTGGTAGGGTCAGGGACAGTTCCATCTGCAGAGGTGAATGCTTGAATGAGTCTGGGTGTGGAGTTGACAGTGGGTACTAGGTTCAGATATTCACAGTTTTACCAAAAGGAGTCATTTCACCTCACAGCTGTCAGGTTGCAGCTTCCACATTCCAAAAGTGTGCAGTAAAGTCTCAGAATGGAGCATAGGAGTAGGTTTGTACAGCCTGAGATAGCCCAAGAAGTGGACATATTTTCTAGGCCCTTTTAGTCAGAGCCTTTGGTGGGTTCCGCTGTTACCAAGGGAAAACCTAAATAAGTCCTCTAGCTTTACTTGACTTGCTGGTGTCTGATGGGTGACTAGAATAGGATGAAAAGGCCTGGCATCTATCTTCCTTTTTGCTGCCTTTGGGTCAAGTTTTCTTTAGCCCTATTGCAGGCCTGCTGATTGCCCTTGGAGCTGGTCTCCTACCTGTTGTGCTCTCTCAGAAGCCTAAGCACCAAGCCCTGCAGCTATTACCCCACCTTGGGCCCCTTAGGTATCTGAATTCCTCAGGTAAGCTGGGGACCACCACTTGTTCATCTCAGCAAAACAATAAAGGCCTGTTCCTTCCTTTGTTAAAGGAGCACCCTGGTTTCTTCTTTGGTCAGTGCTGGCTCCCTTCTTCTTGTGAGCTGAAGCTTGGTGAAACCCTTGCCTGTGTCCCTGCATTCTTGACTTGGTCTCATTTCCATTGCTTCAATGCCATGAGACCCCTCTGGTAACACCAGTGTCAGGATACCCCCAATCTGAACTCCTCAGTGTGACTGTGTCCATTTCCCTATTAAACCCACAGAATGATGGCTTAGAACAGAAATTTATTCCCTTACAGTTCTGGAGGGCAGAAGTCCAAGACCAAGATGTCATAAGGTTGCACTCCCTCTGAGGCTCTGGGATAGAGTCCTTCCTGTTTCTCATCATATGTGGTGGTTGGCAGTCCTCGATATCCCTTGGCTTGTACGTGCATCATACCATCTCTTCCCCATCTTCTCATAGTCCTTTTCACATGGTCCTCTCCCTTTTCATAAATCCTGTTGGATTAGGGTCCATTCTGATGACCTAATTTAAGCTTAATTACCTCTATAAAAAGCCTACTTCCAAGTAAGGTCACATTCTTAGGTGGTAGGGGTAGGGACAGCAGCATGGTCTTTTTGGAAAACCCGATTCAGCCTATAATAAGGAAACTTAGGAAAGTTTAAAATTTTAACCTGCTTTTTGGGGAAAATTAAGAAGCAGATGCCCAGGGCAGTTTCTGTGGAAGGAGCACATTTGCCTTGTGCCACTGTGCCCTCAAATGGTTAATTTATTCAGCAAATGTTCCTTGGGTCCCAGTGACATTTGAAGAAGTGAGAGCTAGACATGCACGGTGCCACCTGATGTGTGAGACTAGTCATGAAACTGCCTGTTCACCAGAAAAAGTTGTCAGCAGCTGTGGCTTCCTTCTAGAGAGAGGGATCAGCCACAAGTGAGGACCATCTTGCTGTTTGTTACTGTCCCTTTTGGGAGCTGCCATTTTTTTTTAATTTTTCTTTTATTATTCATATGTGCATACAAGGCTTGGTTCATTTCTCCCCCCTGCCCCCACCCCCTCCCTTACCACCCACTCCACCCCCTCCCGCTCCCCCCCTCAATACCCAGCAGAAACTATTTTGCCCTTATTTCTAATTTTGTTGTAGAGAGAGTATAAGCAATAATAGGAAGGAACAAGGGGTTTTGCTGGTTGAGATAAGGATAGCTATACAGGGCATTGACTCACATTGATTTCCTGTGCGTGGGTGTTACCTTCTAGGTTAATTCTTTTTGATCTAACCTTTTCTCTAGTTCCTGATCCCCTTTTCCTATTGGCCTCAGTTGCTTAAGGTATCTGCTTTAGTTTCTCTGCATTAAGGGCAACAAATGCTAGCTAGTTTTTTAGGTGTCTTACCTATCCTCACCCCTCCCTTGTGTGCTCTCACTTTTATCATGGCTTCATAGTCCAATCCCCTTGTTGTGTTTGCCCTTGATCTAATGTCCACATATGAGGGAGAACATACGATTTTTGGTCTTTTGGGCCAGGCTAACCTCACTCAGAATGATGCTCTCCAATTCCATCCATTTACCACGAATAGACATTTCGTTCTTCTTCATGGCTGCATAGAATTCCATTGTGTATAGATACCACAGTTCTTAATCCATTCATTCAAGTGCTGGGGCATTTGGCGCTTTCCATAACTTGGCTATTGTGAATAGTGCCGCAATAAACATGGATGTGCAGGTGCCTCGAGTAACAGTCTTTTGGGTATATCCCCAAGAGTGGTATTGCTGGATCAAATGGTAGATCGATGTCCAGCTTTTTAAGTAGCCTTCCAAATTTTTTTCCAGAGTGGGTTGTACCAGTCTACATTCCCACCAACAGTGTAAGTGTTCCTTTTTCCCCACATCCTCGCCAACACCTGTTGGTGGTGGTGTTGCGAATGATGGCTTATTCTAACAGGGGTGAGGTGGAATCTTAGTTGGTTTTAATTTTCATTTCCTTATTGCTAGAGATGTGAGCATTTTTCATGTGTTTTCTGGCCATTTGAATTTCTTCTTTGAGAAAGTTCTGTTTAGTTCACCTGCCATTCTTTATTGGTTCATTAGTTTTGGGAGAATTTAGTTTTTTAAGCATCCCTGTATATTCTGTTATCAGTCCTTTGTCTGATGTATAATTGGCAAATATTTTCTCCCATCTGTGGTCTTTCTCTCGCTTAGAGGACCATTTTACCTTTTGATGACAGAGGCTTTTCTAATTTTAGACGTCCCAATTTATCTATCTATCCTTAGTTATCGTGTGCTGCTGAGTTCTTTCTTTTGATGAACAGAAGCTTTTTAGTTTATGAGGTCCCATTTAATTCTATGCTATCTCTTAGTTGCTGTGCTGCTGGGGGTTTCATTGAGAAAGTTCTTACCTATACCTACTAACTCCAGAGTATTTCCTACTCTTTCTTGTATCACTTAAGAGTTGGGGTCTGATATTAAGATCCTTGATCCATTTTGAGTTAATCTTGTATAGGGTGATATACATGGATCTAGTTGGGAGCTGCCATTTTGTAAAGTAAGTAAGTCCCACCTCAGGTCTTATGTCTTTTTATTTATTTAAGTTTCATTTTTAAATTAAGTTTGTCTTCATAAGTTGTGTTCTCCCTCATCTTAAAAGTGAAGTTAGCCAGGTTCAGAAAGCCAGTGGTCACATGTTTTCTCTCATATGTGGAATATGGACCCAATACAAATATAAGCAGTATTATATATAGAGAGAAATATATTCAGAGCATGTATCCAAAAGTGGGACTGGGAGAGGAGACCAAGGGAGGAGGAGAAAAGGAAAGAAAGGTAGAGGATAATAATAAAGTATTCACATCTATGTAGGAACAAGACATAAGGAAACATGCTGAAAACAAACAACACAAGATGGGAAAAGGGTGAAGAAGTGCAATGGAGGGGTGTTACATTGACTTTAGCACAATGCATATGCAGGCAAACATCCCACTGACCAACGAACAGACACCTAAACAATGAAGGACAAAAATGAAAAACAGGTCACACTTAGGGAAGTGAGCTAACAGGAGGGGAAAGGTAAAAGAAAGAATCAAAGACCGTGAATATGGGTGATTCTTTACCAGAATGAATATAGAATTTTTAAACCTGTTGAACTCACCATAAGAAGAGGACTAAAGTAGAAAGGAGAAAAATGGAGGGGATGAACTAATTCAGTATACAATACATTTGTACATGAAAATGTCATATTGAAACTCTCTGTATAGATATCTTTAACAAAAATAGCTCTTTTTCCCTCAAAAATGGAGGACAGGAACTTAAATCAGATCCTGTCTGGGGGTTGGTACCAGTGGGGGGGGGGAGGATATAAGGAAAGGGTGGAGGAGGTGAATATGGTGGATATATTATGTACTCATGTATGGAAATGGAAAAATGAGACTTATTGGAACTATTCTAAGAATTGGGAGGGGGATAAATGAGAATAGTGGTGGGGGTAAATTTAAGATATATTGTAAGCACTTTTGTAAATGTCACAATGTACTCCCAATATAACAATAATATGATAATAAAAAAAGCCCTCACAAAACAAAAAAAAAGTTGTGTTCTCCATAAGCAATATAAGTCCAGTGGTATATAAGGAAAAAAATTAAGCACCCCATCACACATGGGTTTGCTTTTATTTGTAATAACAGTGGGATTGCACCATAGCTATGATGTCTCCCTCTCAGCTACCTCCTAGATGTTCCCTCAGGGCCAAGTGTCCCATGATTTTCCTTAGTTTTCCATAGTTTGAACAATCACCAACTTATTTAGTCACTGCCCTACTGACATACTACCTGGCAACTGTAGGACTCCTTTTGTGCTGTTGTACTCTGCACTGCTGACTCTGGACAGGGTTCTGGATTCATCCATTTTACCACCTTCACACTGCATCTTCTGCTATCCTCTCTGGATTAAGTGGCAGTACCAGAAACTTTAGAACCTCTCTACCTTCTTTATCTCCTGGTTGATTCCCACGGCTCCAGACCTGGAACATCTTGTACATCATCCTCTTGCCCTAGCCTTCAGCTGTGTCTTGGCTGAACTCTTCCACAGGAATGTCTGTCCTCAGTGTCTCAGCCTTCCTTGAGGCAAGCTCATTTTTAGGCCTGTCAAACCTTTCCTTCTGTTACTTGGATTTCCTTACACCTTGAACAATCTTTGTGGTTCCAGGCTCTACTCAGACCCCCTCTCAACCCCCAATTACTGCAGTAGCTGCACACAGGCTTCACCCCTGCCTGAGGTGGAACATGTTGGCACTTTTTGAGAGCTTTACCTCTGCTATGAGGGTATGGGTGTACATCTATCAACAATGTGTGTTTGTGAGGGTTGCAAGTGTGAATGTTTCTCTGCATGAGTGTGTTCATCTACCTCCACTAACCCTGATTTCTATCTCTTTGTTCCCAACAGTGAGGGTTCCTTATTTTATTGACTTGAAAAAACCACAGGATCAAGGTTTGAATCATACCTGCAATTACTACCTCCAGCCAGAGAAGATGTGACCATTGGAGTCTGGTGAGTGTCTGCAATGAGGCTACAGGGCTGAGGCAAGGAGGAGCCCTGCTCAGCCATACTATGTCCTTGACATTGAATTCTGAAGTATTGCTTGCTTATTATTATCTTCACCATTCCTAAGGCAAAGGGAAGATCTCAGCTAAATTTGATCGTAATGATGCAGGATGAAATGGCACCAAACTCATTCTGAGGTTTTCAAAGCAGCAAAGACTTGTAACCAGATTGTTTTTAGTTTTATTTCCAAGGTAAATTAAAAAAAAAGAGCAGAAACAAAGAGAATATAAACAGAGAGTTATAAATATAGACTTGACTGTTCTATTTCAGAGAAGTGGATGAGTGAGCTACTGAAAATAGCCTGATTTATTTTCACCTGTAGCAAGTACTTCTTAGAGCTGATGATGGTGGCATTTCTGTCTTCTAAGTATTTACTTTTTTTTTGCCCTAAATTTAAATTAGACTTTGTGACTTCTGTGTCTCCTTGGAATACATGCTAATGTTTTTTTGCATAAGTAATTGGGATTTACTGAACAATGGGTTCAAAACTGACCAGCCTGTAGCATTTTTTTCTGCCCCACAGCAGCTCTGAATCACTGTCCCTTTATCTGGCTGAGTTTAATTTTCAGTAGCCATGAAGTCTCTTTCTGCTGTCTCAGAAACCCACTGTGTATGTGAGAAGCTTGTAAATGCAGTGCTGTGAGTAGGTTTCCAGTGTGGATAAGAGGATACTCAGACACTTATAATGAATGTCCTTGGTAAAGAACATAAAACAAGAAGGGAGATTTTTGTTCTTAACAGTTGGTGCTGGGAGTTAAGTCTTTTATCATTTCCTAATTTGATTTAATCTAGCAGTTACTGACCCATGTGTACATGTGAGACTCCTTTAACTTTCTATCTTTTGTTATGAGCTGGCCTGTTTTGCCCTGAGCTATTTAGTGGGAAAATGGATTGATACCCTATTATTGCAGGAGGGGTATGGGGGTGGCGGTACTTAGACTGAAAGCACTAAAGCACCTATATAAATTGTCAGTTACTCCAAAGAATGTTAGTGACAACAGTGGCAAGTATTAAGGTAGTGACAGCCATGCAGTGGGCTGCTGGATGTTGGCTACTGCCCAGCTCTGTGCCCCTGTGCCATTGTAATGACAGCAGGGTCTTGGGAAGCAGCAGGCTTTGCTCACAACTGCCCTTACTGTGATCTTGCCAGATGCACCTACCAGCTTCTGGAAAGGAAGGCCTAAGGGCCTTGCTTGGCTATCTTGCTTGAGACAGTTTCAACTGTCTCTCTGCCAGCAGGCTAAAGGAGAGGCCCAGGAAGGGGGCCCTTTTGCTGGCTGGGAGCTTTCTGGGCCTCTTGTCAGGGAAGGCTGACTTCTGGAAGCCCATCAGTTGATGGTGAGCATGTCTGTGCATCCCATGTGGCCCCTGGCTCTGCTCCAGGTTGCAGGCAGGTTCTTACCCACAAAATTTCCAGTTAATAGGGAGAAACGTCTCCCTCCACCCTGATAACTGCTATCAATACAAGTTTTGGTGGCCCAGAAGAGGCCCATTTGCCCATTAGGAAATGTTCTTTCTAAGGCTGTCAGCAGCTGGCCTTGAAGCTTGCAGTTCCTAGCTGTATATGCTAGGGACAGGACAATTTGCTTCCCCACCCTGTCCATCCTCCTGTAGGCAACTGGGCTCTGCTGGTCTCTGACAGAGCTCCCTCCACAATCCTGCTCACAGTCACTGTTGTGAAGGGGCATCTGACTATGTCTTTCCCTCTGCTGTCTCCAGGCACACCATCCCTGCTGTCTGGTGGAAGAATGCCCAAGGGAAGGACCAGATGTGGTTTGAGGATGCCTTGGCTTCCAGCCACCCCATCATTCTGTATCTGCATGGGAATGCAGGTACCAGGTGAGCCCACAGGGGCTGTGTATCCTCCCTGCAGAGTCTGGCTCCTTCTTAGGGAGAAATGTACTGGCCTATTGTATTGGCCCAGACCACCTGAGCAAACCTGTGGTCCCACATAATCAGGTTTACTGGACCACTGTGCTGAGAGAGCATCCCAAGAACAAAGGAAAAGGCAGAGTTCTTACGGGGTTGAGGGAAGGTAGAGCTGAGGTGACTTTTACATGAGGCAGTGCAGTGTGCAAAGGGCCAGCTGGTTTGGTCTGCAACGTGCACCTGGCCGTGACTCCTTAGGGAGCAGTGTTGAGCAGCTATGGGAAGCTGCCTGGGTTTGTTTGAAGGAGGCTGCATCTTTGTCAGACGACATGTTTCCTTCTTCCTGTTATAATGTCAAAGGGCAATGGGTTTGCTGGTGTGTGGTTTGGGGGGCAGGGTTTCTCAGTGAGGATGCTATGGTCACTTAGAAGAAAGTGATGCAGATATTTGATGGTGCTTTCAGTGCCCCTTGTGCTCCTGTCCACTTGTCACTGGTTTTCTCCATATCTGTCACCCCTGATCTGAGTTGTGGCATGCAGATTCTCCTTACCTGTGCGGTGTCTACAAGGTACAGGCTGGGGTAGCTGTGTAAGGAGGCAGCACACTTCTGTAAAAGAGGCAGTGAGTGCTGAAAAGTAGCAGGAGGGAAGGCTGAAGGCTGAGAGTGGCCAGTGGAGAGACCTCTGCTGAGCATGCATGGACCTGTCAGTCCTCTTGGAATGAGCACTGTGCTGGTAGCCATGACATGAGCAGCATTAGCACGTCCTAACAGGTTGTTGATGAGAGGTACAAATAAACCCTCTCTCTCTCTCTGGCCAGTCAGGCCTTAACAGCTTTATCCTAGATGCCTCTTGTGAGTGTGTTTAATGGCTCCTCCAAGCTAGCTTGAGCTAGAGTTGATTTCCCACCCAAAGACGGCTTGGTGCTTCTTCCATACCATAGATGTTGTTCAGAAGGGTTTTTGTGGCATGGTGAGGTAGTAGAAGAAGGGAGTGCATTTTCTGAGCACAGCATTGTTTGAAATCACCCGAATTGCTGTTTCTGTGGCTGCTTCCTTAGGCCACCTCTGAGAGAGCCAGGAGGAGCCAGCAGGGAAGCAGGGCCTCCGCAGGGCCAGGGTGGCTGCTGATGGACATTTTTAGGTAGAAGCAGCAATGAGAATATGCAGAGGCCTTTCTGGAGGGGACTGCAGGCGGGCATTGTACTGTGTGCAGACAACATAGCAGAAAGAGCTCAGAAGCATAGCCCATGAGGCTGGTCTCTGCTCAGAGTGGAGCGCTTGGCTACTGAGTTGTGTGTGTGTTGTACATAACTTCTTTGTCATGGACAAGCTGCAGTGGGTTTCTCTTTTGCTTTTCTTCCTTGTTTGTCTTTTTTGGCTGCACTGGAGTTTGAACTTAGGGTCTCAAACTTGCTAGGGAGGTGCTCTTACCTCTTGAGTCACTCTGCCTAGCCCTTTTTTTTGTGTGTGATGGGTTTTTTCAAGATAGGATCTCATGAACTATTTGTCTGGGGCTGGCTTCAAACCTCAATCCTCCTGATCTCTGCCTCCTGAGTAGCTAGGATTACAGGCGTGAGCCACCAGTGCCCGGCTTCTCTTCTGCTTTTCAAAGAGCAAGTGGCTACAAACAGCTCTTGTAGCATCTTTCTATAAATAAGAAAACTATGTAGTTGACTGTGAGTAAGGTTCAGTTCTACCAGTCACATGGTAAAGACAAAGCCTGCCTATAACTTCAGGCTTAAAAGGAACTTGGAGACTCTCAAAAATTTGCCATCCCCTCCAATCCCTAGTGTCTGTGTTGTGATCTTGTCTGAATTCTGTCTGGTCCTGTCTGGACCCCATCTCTTGAGGGCCTCACCCCACTCACGGAGACCCTTCTCTGACCAGAGCCCCAAATAGGGTCCTCTGGCAGGCACAGGCTTCATCAATCTACAGGATCTCAGCACACAAGTCTCCTGAAGGTCTAGGCCCACTGGGCTCTCAGTCCCTCTTTTTTTTACTTGATGGAGGGAGTTTTGAAAATTTTAAAAAGTTATCTTCCAAAGATAACTGAAAACATTTTGCAGTATTTCATCCTGGTCTTGAAACATTTGGTTTTTTTTGGTGGTACTGTGGTTTGAATTCAGTCTTGTACTTACTAGGCTATGCCCCCAGCCCTTTTTGCTTTAGTTATTTTTCAGGTAGAGTTTTGCATTTATGACTGGGCTAGGCTGGGTTAGACTGGGCTAGGACTGTGATCCTACTCCCTGTGGCCCCCTGCTGGGATCACAGGTGTGAGCCACTAGGCCTGGTTTATTGATTGAGCTGGGGGGTGGGGGGAGTCTCACTAACTTTTTGCCTGGACTGACCTCAAACTACAGTCCTTCCTATTTCTGCCTCCAAATAGCTGGGATTATAGGTTTGTACCACTGTGACCTGCTCCTTTGTATTTTTATTTCTGTACTATATTGGTTTTCCTTCTCCATCTCATCCTTGTCTCCTCACAGTGGTACTCTCTACATCTCATGTACCTGAAAACAGCTGAGAAGTATAGAGAGGAGCCTCCTTCACACCCCAATCCACCTGCCAACACACCTCCTCTCCCAGCAGCACCTGCCTCTGCTCTGGGAGCTGGCCACAGCAACAGCGGAGTAGCAATTGAACAGATGTGGGATGAGAGCCTAGTCAGTCCTCAGAGAAATTAAAATGTGAAAAGTTTAGGTGTGTGCCAAGCACGTTCAGCCTCAGAAATAAAAAATGCCTCACCAGGTGTGGTGGAACACACTTAAAATCCTAGCACTCAGAAAGCTGTGGCAGGAGAACCTTAAGTTCAAAGCCAGCCTGGGCTACATAGCAAGACCATGTCTCAAAGTAAGAAATGCCTGATACAACTGTATTCTGCTGGGTCAGTGCTAGGAGACAACCATTCCCCACACACTATGTTGAGAGGTGAGGGGCTTCCTGACAAGAGATTTGGCAACCACATCAGGTCACAGTTGCACATACCTTTGTCCAGGAATATGTCCCACATGCAGGGCACGTGTGTGTGAAGGGACACTAGCACAGACCTGAGTTAGCAGCAGGTGAGAAAGAGTGGAGATGATCAGAAGACTAGGACAGAACTGCTGCTGAGCAGCACTGGATGTTGGCAAGGCCCTAGGAGGTGAAGACAAAAGTGGCAAGGTGGCCTGTGCAAGTCCCCCTCAGGCATGGTTTTCTTTCACATGTGTGGACCCTGGACCCTGAAAGGAGTGGGGTGGGTCTACTGTGTGTCTTGAATTTGGGCTGTAGGTATGCAGTGAAAAAGTATACATAATAATTAAGAAATCTCCCCAAAGTTCTTAGCTCAGTACTTCCAGAGGCAAGGTTGGGGCCACTATAGGCCCCCCTGAATGGGGTTTGTAATCCCAGACTCATGTCTCCCATGCTCTGACAAGGGGCACTAACACCAGCTTCCTGTTTCCTTCTCCTGTGCTGCAGAGGAGGTGACCACCGGGTGGAGCTCTACAAGGTGAGTGCAGATGGCCCGATAGAGTGGTGCTGTTTACTCCAGGAGGCAGGAACTGAAGGCAGTCACTTGAATTAATAATTTTGAGAGCTCGTCATTGTTGGGCATGTTGGAAAGTAGTATGTCTGGTTCTACTGTGATTCTTAACCATTATGCTGCTTCTAGGGATGGTCTCCAAAATCAGAATATATGTACTTTGCGAATCATCTCCCAGGTATTTGCAAATTATATGAGAGGCATTTGAAATTATTTTTTAATGATGTACTCCTCAAATATAAGATGAGAAGAGAAAACTGTGCACTCAAGAAGCTATGCTTATTTCTGAGTTGCAGCAGACTTGGGAGGTACAGGTAGGATTTTAGTCAGGTTCTAGGCAGACTTAGAAGAAGCCCCCACAGGTAAAGACGCATGCCTTGCTTGAGCAGGGAGTCTGCATGCCAGGAAGTGCAGTTCTTGAATGGGGCTTTGGGGTCTTGGAGCCTGAGGCATGCTGTTGGTGCAAAATCCTAAGCCCATCCATACCAGCCTCCCTCTTCTCCTCTCAGAGGCATCTATATCTGCTAACAGAGCAGAAGGAAATGTATACAGATGTGTGGGCCCATCTTGCTCTGGTCTGTTAGAGTTTAAATTGGATCAAGGCAGGAAAGGCAAGTACTTGAGGTGTTACCAGTTCTCTTTGGGTTTCTGTTAATAGAAATGATTCCCCCTGCCCAGGTCTTGGAGGCCTGGAGCAGCTGTGTTCTGGGCTCTGCAGAGGGTTGGGAGCAGATAGGAAGCACCAAGCTGTCTCAGTGAGTGCCACTGGCTCTTCTAAAGATGGGAGTAGTGAGTGGCACTGAGTGAGTGTGGTGGCATGGGACCTCCCACATTGCTCTGCACCCCAGCCAGAACATGGGGAATCATGCATGAATACAAATCATCTAGTCTATAGGGATTAAAAAATAATAGTAAGAAGAATTCAACAAAAGCATAAATCTGAGAAAAGCTAGGTTGCAATAAGGGTCCCTAGATGGGGTCTGTGTGCTGTGGTGTCTTTCTGGGGTCCTCTATGGTGCTGGGTAGTTAAAGCCCCCTGGCAGCATCCAGGAGGCCACCCTATAGTGTGAACACAGTGTCATCCTGGGATGACAGTCAGAGTTGACAGGTTCCTCAGCCATGTAAACAGCAGCAGAGAGGCATCCTTCTCACATTGCTCAACCAGAGAAAATCAACACATCTTGTGGCAGCAGGTCTGGTTAGGAGTTAGCTTGCTTGTGGACAGTCTTTATTAAGTCCCCAGTGTGTGAAGCATAAAGACAGAACTTTGGATGGGCTTAGCAATAGGCGAGTTGCTGTCAATTCAAAACACTCTGGTCTGTTGCCAAAGATTTGTATTTTTCACTTCACAGGTGCTGAGTTCCCTTGGTTACCACGTGGTCACCTTTGACTATAGAGGTGAGTTTTCCTTTAAGAGTATGTCTGAGCACATTCCCACTCTTCCTGATTGTATATGATGGTCAGGCCTGCTCTGAGAGTCTCAAAGCAAGTCTTTTAGCTTGCTTTTGCTGTGCTGTAACCTGTGATGATGGAGACTGTGTTGAGGATTGGGAAAGGCAGTAGTAGGTCTGTTCTGATGCAAGCCTTGGGTGGTAGGTTTCCTAATGAAGCTCCTGTTGTGGATACCAGGAGGTCCTCCTGGTAAGGGGAACTGACACTGAAACCCCCAGCATTATGCAGAAAATTCTATTTTTTCTCTTCTTTTGACTCAGATTTTCTCTGCAGCTGGACATTAGACATATTTTAGACTCAGCAGAAGAACTAGTTTTGTTGAAATGATAAAAAAAAATAGGAAAAAGACTCATCAAATTGAGAAAGAAAATAGATTCTTCTGTTTCCTCAGCACTTCTGTCTCTTTTGAATGAGTCAGGGCTTGCCACTGGGCAGATCAAGAATCCAGTCTATATTGCTATGAATGTTCTACCTTATTGAGCAGCAGAAATACTTTGCAGTAACAATGAGCAACTGTTTTAAAGGAATACTCCTCCATGTAGTCCTCAGTTGGAGAGTTCAAAGGGATGAAGCCTGCTTGGCCAGCTTGCATTGACCTTCTGGGGAAGGGTGGTAGTATGGATGCTCTCAGATGAAAGAGAATGGCTGCCAGCTGTATGAAGGGGGTTGTATTAGTTTTCTTTCACTGCTATAATAAATCACAAATGTAGTACCTTAAAATACCACAGATGAATTATCTTGTAGTTCCGCAGATCAGAGATCCAAAATCTTTAGCTACTGGGGTAGAATCAAGGTATTAGCAGGGCTTTGTTTCTTCAAGGGTTTCTGCAGAGGACCCATTGCCTTGCTTTTCCCAGCTGCAGAGGCCACTGCACTCCCTGACTCATGGCCCCTTCCACATTCAAACCCAGCTGTGGCCTGTTGAATCTCAGGCTCCATCACTTGGACCCTAACTTTTGTCCTCTCTTTCACTTATAAAGACCCTTGTGATGACTTGGGGTCCACCCAGATGATCCAGGATTATCCCCATCTCAAGGTCAGCCCATTAGCAGCTTTCATTCTTTCTGCACCCTTAATTCCCCTGACCACAAAGTGGCATGTTCACCAGTTCCAAGATTGAGATGTGACCAACTTCAGGGGCCACTATTCTGTCAACCACATTGATGGCTCTTTCATTGAAGATGTTCAATCAGAATAAAAGTTCTAAGCTCAGAAAAACTTCTGATGTGCTGGAAATTTTAGAATAATAAGGGGCCACATTCCTTCTTCCTGATCATGTCCCTGTTTGTTTATCAAAATAAGACATCCTGTGCCACTTTTCTCTTTTCATTGCTTATGGAGTCTGCATTTCTAAGTGGTGTGGAAAACTGCCAAGCTCCACCTCTGACTCTGGCTCTCTGTCTCTGTGTCTTTGTCTTTGACTCTCCCCCTACCCATCTCCTTCTTCCTTCGCACCACCCCCAATCTGTTATTCTTTATCTCTTTCTCTTTCTCTATGTTCCCACATCCCTTTCTCCCACAGAGTGTCCTGAACCTTCAGCCGTCTCTGTCCCTCTTCATTCTTCCATTCTGTGGAGCCTGGGAGACTGGGCAGCATAACTGTGAGGTTTGCTGACACAGCAAAACCAGCCCTTCTGAATCTTGTGGTGTTTTTAGATCATTTGATGATGACTCACTCACTGCTGAGCTGCTATAAAGACAGTTGTACTTGACTTTTGCTAGAGTCTACAGGGAAGGGCTCTTGGGAGAAGGGTCATAGTTGCTTTAAGCCTAGAAATCTCCCTGCTTTCCTGTAGCATCCCGACACCTGCTCCCTGGCCTGATCCTTCTAGGGTCCTGAGTTGGCTGGGTTCCCACACCCATTGGTGGTCCATCAAGAGTGCAGAGGGAGAGCCCAGACTTGAGGGAGTTGCACTGTGCCTATGGGTGACAATGGCAAGGCATGTGTCTCAGATGTGTTTTGTTGACTCTGTTCTGTTAATCACCAGTCAAATATGCAGCCCACTCACTTAGGGTAACTGGGAATCTCTGGTTTGTCCAGTTAGCAGGAATGAATCACCACCAGGCCCTCCTCCCTGTCCCCACCAGTGTTGGAGGAGAAGTGTGGGCACCACCTGCCCTCCCTCATTGCCCCAGTCTGCCAGCAGCATGGGTGGGACCATACATACTTGTAGGGCAGCCTCCAGTGCTGCTCCCTTGGTTTCTGAACTAACTTTGACTTCCTCTTCCTGCCTTTCCTCTCTTGCAGGGTGGGGTGACTCAGTAGGAACGCCATCTGAGCGGGGCATGACGTATGACGCACTCCATGTTTTTGACTGGATCAAAGCAAGAAGTGGTGACAACCCTGTGTACATTTGGGGCCATTCCCTGGGCACTGGGTAAGAGTTCCAAGCAGGAGGTAGCCTTAGTGGGAGCAGGGTTTCTTGGTGATGGTCCAGCCCATGATCTGAAGACAGCCTCAGACTCTGTAGCACCATCAGTTCCAGCAATTCTGGTCCCCTGTCTCCATCGTGGGGCTGAAGCATCACAGGAACTGAGAAGGGGTTGAGCTACTGTAATTTGTCATCCCAACAAGTGACTTAGGGCCAAAAGGGGCTGTCAAGGTAGAAGCAGGTGTCTCCACAGGGAGCCCTCATCCAGGAAGCATCTTCAGAGTGCAAGTAGGACTGTTCATGTTCTGTGGTGCACCTAGGCTCTGTATCATGTGTGACTTTGGTGTGCATGTGCAGACCATTGAATCTAACCATGCAGCGTAGAGACATTTGTAAGCAGCTTGGCCACATCCCCCATGCTCAGCTTCCCAAGGAGTGTGGGGAGGAACAGTTTGTGGTCCATTTCCCACATCTGCCAAGAAAGGAAGAGTCTTAATGTTCCATTTGTGGGCAGCCTGGATGCTTCTGCTGATGCATCCATGGTGTTTCTAAAAGGAGCCCTAAACCCTCAGCAGCCATCCCTCATCTTGCTGCCTTTTCCTTCAGCCACAGTGGCTCAGCTCTTCTTGGCTCTGGCTCCTTGCTTGTATGGCATCCTGTAGACTGGAAGTTTATAGCAGGACTGCCTGCCCCTCATGGGGAGAGTGCACAGTGTCCCCTGGGAGAGGCCCTTGTGGAGGGAGGCTAGCTATCCCTGAGACTATCTGCAGAGAACCTACCAGGTATCATCTTGGGATGGCAACAGGTCTCTGGGCTTGGTGGGCAATAAACACTGCTGCCTCCAGGAAGGGTGCAGGTAGACCCCAGCCAACAAGGTTGGCCTGTCCTCCTGTCTCAGTTGTGTCCATGCTGACCAGATAGGGTGACAGGTGAGCGGTAGGGACAGGGCAACTTGTAGGAGGCTCTTCCTACCCTGGGTCAGGAAGTGGCTGTCAGCACCGCATGGTGGGGGAAAGGAATTAACTGATGGCTCACTCCTCCCCCCTCAATCTTACCCCTACCATTAGCTACTCAGGCCCCACAGCTTCTCTGGGCCACTTTCCAGGATCAAAACAGTCTCATCTACAATGATTTTGTCATAACTCAACTGAATCATATTTATTTTCTTCCTAGAGTGGCAACAAATCTGGTGCGGCGCCTCTGTGAACGAGGTAAGGGAGCCTGCTGCCCCAGGTTGGGTGCTTGTCATGACAGTTGGTGTTCTAGCCCCTGTGGCAAGTTCTTGCCAAGCGGTGCCAGTGACTGAGCAGCACATTGATGGGATGAGCTGAGCATGCTCTGGCCTGACCTAGTCTGTCCTCCCCATGGGATTCTTGGAAACCACCTGGGACCTTTTGGGGCTGGGGCTGAGTAGCCGAGAGGCCTATGAAGGTAGATAACTGGGCAGAGGAGCTGCACTTTGGGTTCTCTATTCCTTCTCGGCACCCCTGGGCCACTCGCTTCCATGAATTCTTTTTATGTTGTTGGCTTCTTGCCCATCTCCCAGGTCCCTGTCTGTTTTTTTAACTTACCTAGAAACACCTCCTGATGCTCTTATATTGGAATCTCCATTCACTAATATCCGTGAAGAAGCAAAGAGCCATCCATTTTCAGTGGCAAGTACACAATTTTATTAAAAATATTTAATTTTGATTATTATAATAATTACTATAAAAATAAAAATAAATTCAAGTAGCTAATAAGAATAATAATGATAAAAGCATAATTTAGTATTGTAATGAGTACAGATTTTATTAAAAATAAATCCTAGTTTGAGGCACAGAGCTGCCCAGGAAGTTTATAGCTTTGCAGCCAGAAGGGGAATAAGCTCATAGTCGGGTTGTTTGGGGGTAGCTGGTCCTATGTCCTATCCTTGCTCACACACCCTCACCTACTTGGTGTCACTGTGTTTTACTGTTACTGCCATGGTGTGATTCCTGTAGGATTCAGCCCAGGCCAAGGACTGCTGTCCTGGCTCACTCCTTGAGAGAGGAAGTGATGGATATCGTTCCCCGCCCCCCACCCCAGGTCCTAAATGGTGCTTGGAGCCTAGGCTCTGGGGAGTGGGGAGTCAGGCCTCCTAGTCATTTCTAGAGTGGGTTGGTCCCCACCTCTCCCTCACCAAATACAACTGAAACCTTGGATCCTTCTTTTAAAGTCTGTCCCATTATTCTTTCCTTCCCACTAGGGCTCTAGACTGCCTTTGTGTATTGGGCCTGTCTTGCCCTTCTGTTCTAATTTCATGCTGCTCTACTGTAGGCCACAGGACTCCTTTATTTTCCCTTATGTTTTTGCTATTGTTTTTCTATGAAATCACATAAGGAAACCAGCTATGGACTCCCATTTTCTTGGTGGGTGGTAGCCCTTGTCTGTGGGAAGTCTGGTGTCTGAGCTCGAATATAGCTACAGCTCTAAGGCATGGGAGCCCCGCCATGTCCAGGCAGGTGAGGCTTCTGTCCCCAACCACAAAGCTAGAGGTAGAAGGTGCTTCCTCCACTATACATCACCTTTATTCCCTTAGGGATGGTATAGTTAAGCCTTATAAATCCTGAACTGTCTGAATTCTTGACCTTGGCCTTCTGCCTAGAGATCTTAATTAATGGTTCTGAAAATGACTTATATCTTGTTTTCAGATATATCGATACTTCCCTGGGTTTGACTGGTTCTTCCTTGATCCCATTACAAGCAGTGGAATTAAATTTGCAAATGATGAAAAGTGAGTATTGCGATGGAGTAATTTTTTGATTTAGAAAAACACTGGGAGTCCTCAGGATGAGCCTCTTTAGTCACGTTAACTAAACAAGATGGGATTCAAAAGACCTGGGGTTGTTCTCTAAGAAAATGCCTTCAAAAGGTTAAGTCAGCCAGGCACCAGTGACTCACATCTGTAATCCTAGCTACTTCGGAGTTAGAGATCAGGAGGATCTCCATTCAAGACCAGACCAGGCAAATAGTTCACAAGACCCTATCTCAAAAATACCCAACACAAAACAGGGCTGGTGGAGTGGCTCAAGTTGTAGAACACCTGCCTAGCAAGCATGAGGCCTTGAGTTTAGACCCTAGTACTGGGGGGGAAAAAGGTGAAGTCAAGCAGAGATCTACAATGGAAAGAAAGAAGGAATTAAAAAAAAACTAGAATTAAAACAATACTAAAATAGGTATTTTTGTCCATAAAATTGCATGTGGGTTTTTTTCAGTCTGTTTAGCACTCTTGAATAGGTATTAAAGACTACTAAAATAATTATTATAAAAAGGACTTTGCTTTAGCCATTTGGTGTGTGTTTGGTTATAGAGAGATGAGAGATACAGAGTTTATTGCTAAAAATATTTCTATTAGATATGCTAAAGACTAAACATTCTGGTTAGCCCTCTGTTTTGTTTTCTGTTTTTGTGGTACTGAAGTTTGAACTCAGGGCTTTCTTCTTGTGAGATTGGCTCTGTACCGCTTGAGCCAGGTCCCTAGCCTATACTTAGCAATTTATTTAAGCCACTTTCAGATTCTATTGACATTGTCTTTGTGGTCTTTTTAATTCATGGATTTTAAGTTTTTCAAAAAAGAAAAAGAACAAAGCTTTGAATAGTTGACATTTAACAGTCTATTGTCTGAAACAGATTTTAAAATGGAGTGTTTTTCCCATTCAAGTATGTATTTTATTTCTAAAATTGAAAATAAAATGAATTAAAATTTGAGCAAACATAAGCAAAAAACCCTGTTCATTTGCAAGTATTATTGTTTTAGGACTTAAAAATTATCTGAAAGCTAGGTGCCGGTGGTTCATGCTTGTTATCCTAACTATTCAGGAAGCAGAGGTCGGGGGATCAAGGTTCAAAATCAGCCAGGGCAAATAGTTTGTGAGACCCTATCTTGAAAATACCCAGCACAAAAAAGGGCTGGCAGCTACACATCAGACTGATAACCAGAATATATAGGGAACTTAAAAAACTAAATTCTCCCAAAATTAGTGAACCAATAAAGAAATGGGCAAGTGAATTAAACAGAACTTTCTGAAAAGAAGAAATTCAAGTGGCCAAAATCACATGAAAAAATGTTCACCATCTCTAGCAATAAGGAAATGCAAATTAAAACCACACTAAGATTCCACCTCACCCGTTAGAATAGCCATCATTAGCAATACCACCAACAACAGGTGTTGGCGAGGATGCGGGGGAAAAAGGAACCCTCTTACACTGTTGGTGGGAATGTAAACTAGTACAACCACTCTGGAAGAAAATTTGGAGGCTACTTAAAAAGTTAAACATTGATCTACCATTTGATCCAGCAATACCTCTTTTGGGGATATACCCAAAAGACTGTGACACAGGTTACTCCAGAGGCACCTGCACACCCATGTTTATTGCGGCACTATTCACAATAGCCAAGTTATGGAAACAGCCAAGATGCCCCACTACTGACGAATGGATCAAGAAAATGTAGTATCTATACACAATGGAATTTTATGCAGCCATGAAGAAGAACGAAATGTTATCATTCGCTGGTAAATGGATGGAATTGGAGAACATCATTCTGAATGAGGTTAGCCTGGCCCAAAAGACCAAAAATCATATGTTCTTCCTCATATTCGGGCATTAGATCAAGGCAAACACAACAAGGGGATTGAACTTTGATCACAAGATAAAAGCGAGAGCACACAAGGGAGATATGAGGATAGGTAAGACACCTAAAAAATTATCTAGCATTTGTTGCCCTCAACGCAGAGCAACTAAAGCAGATACCTGAAAAGCAACTGAGGCCAATAGGAGAAGGGGACCAGGAACTAGAGAAAAGGTTAGATCAAAAAGAATTAACCTAGAAGGTAACACACACATGCACAGGAAATTAATGTGAATCAACTCCCTGTATAGCTATCCTTATCTCAACTAGCAAAAACCCTTGTTCCTTCCTATTGCTTATACTCTCTCTTCAACAAAATTAGAGTAAGGGCAAAATAGTTTCTGCAGGGTATCGAGGGGGTCGGGGGGGAGAGGGAGGGGGCGGAGTGGGTGGTAAGGGAGGAGGTGGGGGCAGGGGGAGAAATGACCCAAGCATTGTATGCACATATGAATAATAAAAAAATAAAAATTAAAAAAGAAAGGGCTGGCAGAGTGGCTCAAGTGGTATAGTGTGAGGCCTTGTGTATGTATGTATATACATATGAGTAAGCTGAATTCCTTTTTTCTTTTTTTAATGGGACTGGGGTATGAACTCAGGGCTTCATGCTTGGATTCTTTCTTAAAAGGCAAAGTGAGTACTGTACCCAGGAAGCTACCTTTTGTCCCATCGTAATGCTGACTGGGTGGCTGCAGTACCACACCCCCAACCCTCACATCAGAGGAAGTCAGGCTCAGCCTTGTGTGCTGGTGGGGCCTTCCTAAGCTCAGTGGGCAATGTCTGCAACCAAGTACTTGCTGCTTCTTCCAGGATCCTTGAATTAAAGGGACTCACGCATCAGAAATGCTCTACCATGAAACAAGTAGTGTGTGCCTTGTGCTGTTAACAGGAGTTATTTATCTGTAGGTGACAAACTTTCCCCAGCCCAAGTCCTGCTCCAGGTGCCAGGATGGCACCAGTGCTGCCCTCAGAGAGTACACAGCCCTGTTGGGGATCAAGATAGGGACTCAGATCATGTGGCCACTTTAGCGAGGGGCAGTGAGGAAAGCTCAAGCCCTGTCCAGTCTTCGCAGCCTGTTCTTCTGTTAAGTGACTTGTGAGGGGATCTGGATCTGTTGAAGCTACATTTTTAATTTACTTGTAAATATTCAGAATTGGAATGACTATTTATTCCAATTATTATTAGAGCATACTGGCTTTTTTTTTAAAGTTGTGCTAATTCTAGGGATGGAATCCAGGGCCTTGTGCAAGCACTATACCACTGAGCTACACACCAGGCCTTGTTTGTTTTTGACAGTACTGGAATTTGAAGTCAGGGCCTTGTGCTTGTTAGGCAAGTGCTCAACTGCTTGGACCACACCCTCAAGCCCTTTTATTGCTTTAGATCTTTTTCAGGTCTCGCTTTTTACCCCCAGGGCTGACCTCAGACTGCCATCCTACCTATGGCCTCCCAAGTAGCTGGATGTATATCACCATGCTTGGCTTATTTGTTAAGATGTGGGGTCTTGCTAACTTTTTGCCTGGGTTAACCTTGAACCATGATCCTCATATCTCCACCTCCCAAGTAGTTGGGATTATAGGAATGAGGCATTTCACTTGGCCAAGGTCTTGTGGGGTTTTTTTTTTTTGGTTGTTGTTGTTTGAGATGGGGTCTCTGTTGCTGTATAGCCTTAAGCTTATGATCCTCCTACCTTATCCTCCTGAGTGCTGGGATTATAGGCATGAAGTACCAGACACAGCTAGTATTGATTTGTGAGTGTGTGTGGTACTGGGGTTTGAACTCATGATCTCACACACTTGCTAGGCAGAGTGCTCTACTATCTGAGCCACATCGACAGCTTTTGTGAAGGGGTTTTTCAGATAGTTCTTGAGAACTACTTGCCCAGGCTGGCTTCAAACCACAGTCCTCCTGATCTCTGCCTCCTGAGTAGCTAGGATTACAGGCATGAGCCGATTCATAGTAACATTCATTTGCAGTAAGTTTCTTGGCCCACCTATATTATCCAGCTTATAAATATTGTTTTGTAACTTTTAAAGAATATATCTATTGGCAAAAATAATCATTTTCAAATTTCAGAAAATATGCAGGGGCCAGATCTCAGGGAATGAATCGATACCTAGATTTGATTGATACCTGTCACCTAGCTGGAATAGATGTTGATAAAGAACAACTAAGAAATTGTCTTTTAGTTCTGTAGTAAAAAGAAACCCATCAGAACTTAGTCTATTAAGCACCCTAAATCCAAATCCCTGTCCCAGGTGAGAGTTCCAGGTGGCTCCACCCTCTTCCTGGTCTCCATCTAGCTTCTTCCTTTCCACAGTGTGAAGCACATCTCTTGTCCCCTGCTCATCCTGCATGCTGAAGACGACCCAGTTGTGCCCTTCCAGCTTGGCAGAAAGGTGGGTGTCCTGGGCTTCTGCCTCTGGTGCAGCATGCATCACAGACCCAACATGTGGGTCGGGGAGGGCCTGCATGCTGTATCCTGGGATGGGCTCAGGTCACATCAGTCTAGGAAACCACTTTATCCTTCCTGAGTCCCCTCTGGACAGCTTGGAAGAGCCTGATATGAGAAGGTCTGATATCAGGGTCAGGGCCAGACTAATTATGCTGTCTGCAAAAGGAATTATGGAAAATATGTGAGTGGTTCCGAAGTCCTCACACTAGGGTCCTTCCCAGGAGAGGTTGTGTGTTATCAGAGCCCAGGCTAACTTGGGAGACCTTATCAGTTAGGGCTAAGGGGAAAGAACCTCTTGATGATGAGGGTCCTTCAACCTCAATGTAGGGGTCCAGATGGTAGAACTGATAGGGAAACTTCTGGTCTGTGTTCTTGCCTTTGGAATTAGACTGATGAGAAGAATTCTATGTCATCCATGGGGCCTCAGTATGAGCTTTTGCTGAATCTGCTTTGACTTTGTTGCCAGGAAGTGTATTAGATTTGTGGGAGAGTGGGGTAAAGAGAGTACCACGTGGGGCACAGCAATGGTGAGGGGCAGATGAGTTTAGGGGTACATGCCATGCCTCGTCAGCAGATTCAGCCTAGGGCTCAGAGTCCTTTTGCTTGTGACAGGCTCCACATAGGCAGACTCCATGAGGAACACAGAAAACACCATGCAGGAAGACATGGAGCTGCCCAGTAATGCACTGCTCAGACCCACATACCCTTAGCCATCCAGGGGACGTGAGGGAGGGGCTGAGATGGGACAAATTGTGAGCCAGCTTGTTGATTGGCCTTGACCCAGGAGCACAGAGCCCTCCTTCCCAGACCCCTTTCTGACCACTGCACCATCCCTGTCATCAGGACCGTCCCTGGCATTTAGCTGCTCCTCTAAAGAAGGGTGGGGGGGGGTTTTGAATGGTGGGCTCACTGAGACCTGGCGACCCCTATCTGTGTGGTTGGCTGTAGCAACAGAAGCAGTGCTCATGGAAATTTGGGCTATTCTTTGGGGGAAGCAGCTGCTGACCAGTCTTTATTGAAGGGAGAGCTGCAGATTTGTCTCTCAGGCCCTAGGCCTTTTCTGGGCCCTGACCCAGCTGACCTGGCTCTGGCTCTCTCTCCCTCTCTCCAGCTTTACAACATTGCTGCACCATCTCGAAGTTTCCGAGACTTCAAAGTTCAGTTTATCCCGTTTCACTCAGACCTTGGCTATAGGCACAAGTACATCTACAAGAGCCCTGAGCTTCCACGAATACTCAGGTGAGACGTCCTCTTCCTACCCAGGGGTCTTCCCTAGACAGCAGTGGCTTATGACCAGGCATGTAGCAGGTGGTGGCTGCTGAAGCTGGGGCCCAGGGTCACAGTGACTCAGAGCCTTCCTGAGTCACAGGAGTTGGAGAGAGTTTGTCTCTCCTCCCTCCTGACTATTCCATGCTCAGGGCAGGTGGTCCCCGTTGTACAGATTACATGCTTGTGCAGACATGCATGGGAGCTTCTGGACACAGTGTGTGCATGCACATCTCCAGCTTTTGGGTGGCCACGTGCAGACAGGAGCACACAGACAAACACCCTGCTATTGCTGGGTTCCTCTCAGGGCCTTTCTAATGTTCTCAGGCTACCTCTACAGCTGCTTCTTAAAGGGAGGCTGTGTTCCAGCCTGCCCTGCACCAGCTAGTTTCTTGGGCAGGACATGGACTACAGCTTAGAGAGGCAAGGGCACCCATCTGGGCCTGGATGTTGACTCAAGTGTGAGAGTGAGGCCTTGGCAGTGGTGATAAGGGCAGTTTAGAATGACCCCCATCCCCCAATCTACTTCCATCCCCCAATCTACTTCCATCCCCCATGCTTCTGTGCAGACTGCCCAGAACTTTACCTACTTCTCAGTCAAATGACACAGGCCCCACCTACTGCTGCTAACTCATGCCCCTGGACAAGATGCTAAACCTTCCTGTGAATGGAACAGGGGAAGATGCCATCCTGGGCTACTGCTCAGTGCTTGGACCTCAAGTAGTAGCCCACCGAGGTTACTGTGACTGCTCTTGGCGGGGGTCGTTTTGCTGTTTTGTGCTGGTTGGCTTTGAGAAGCTGTTCAGGTGCCACTGTCTTCCAGCAGGTAACTGAAATTTGTTGCTTGAATCATCTCTCAAGGAGAGACTCCAGCTCCTCTCCAGCTACCTTTGAGAGCTCCCGAGGCAAAGCTGCATTTCTTTGGAGATTTTCCATTCCTTGCCACTGGGATGTGGGTTGGTGAGACTGGACAGAGAGCTAAAAGAGTAGAGGTGTGCTTCGGGGTTGTAATTTTTCTCCATTATAAAAGAAATATGGCAGAAAGTTTAGACCCACATATAAATCTAAAGATTAAAGACTCTGAGCTCAACCTCTCTCTGATCCTATGTTGGAATTGACCCTGCTGGTGCCACAGGGGCCCTGACTACCTTACTGAGGACTTCATAAAGATCCTCCTGGGATTTGTGGCTGCCTCCTCTGGTGACCTCCTCAGACAGTCCTTTGAGGACCTCGGAGAACAGGATCTTTGGTCTGAGCTCAGTGATTTGGCTCATGTTTGTCTTCCTCTGGTCTAGGGAATTCCTAGGGAAGTCAGAACCCGAGCGCCAGCACTGAAACTGTCTAGCAAAGGAGCATGAAGGCCTGCCCTCCTCCCCTTTTCTTCTGGACAGCAACCTGACACCTTGGAGCCCCTGCAGTGCCCACACCTGCAGAGCCCAGGAGCCCAGTGCACCTGGAGAGGACTTGGATGCAGCGGGCATGGAAGGAGGCCCTGTACATCCATGGTGCAGTGCAATGCAAGTGACTGGGAACCCGGATCTGTGTGGAAATATGGCTGCCGGGCATGCGACCCCCTGTCCCTCTAGCTGCCACTCTACCTGAGCTCTTGTTGGGAAGATTTCGTGACAGCAGTGGTGTCACCTGGTTGATCCCATACTTCCTGAGCTGGGCATGAAAAGCCTAGAAGAGGGCATAGGGGCTCTAGACTGCTCTGGGCTTTCTGACAACCCTTGGAGAATGTGGGGAGGCTGTTCTTTTCTGCAGAATGGACTCTAATGGTTCCACCATCCTCTTTGGCCCATGTACCCGCTTGCCTTCCTTGGCTATCCCTGCCTCTACTGAGTGCCTGTTCACCTTCAGCAGGGGGGCATCCAGATCTGCACTTCCTCCCATTCTGTCTGCCTAACCTGGCCGTAGACTGAGCATTTATTTAAGAATAAAATCGTGGTGGTGGTCTGTTTTGTTGATTCCTCTATAAGCAAAGGTCAGTGTTGCCTTCTGCTGGACCACTTTCCCATCCCCTATCACAGCTAAAGTCCTGGCACCCTTGATCCCAAAGGGACTGGGAATTGGGACTGCTCTGAGGGTCACTAATATGCCCTCTCCTTCCAGCAGCATTTCCAGAGCTGGCAGATGATCTTTTCTTAAAATGCAGGCTTAGATAAGTGGCATTGATGTTTGAGCATTGGGTTTCTTCTTCCCACACACAGACTGCTTGGGGAACAGATTAAGCTACAAGGCCAGAACTCTCAGTGTGTGCCAAGAACATCGTATCACTCTTTTGCCCATCTCTTGCACTAGTAGATATGCTGCTTTTGTCAAACCAGCCCTCCCTGCAGCTGCCCATACCCACTAATACCCATGTGAATAGATCCTAGTGTGAAGGACCAGCGACATAGTCACCTCTCAGGCCAAGGAGCCTCTGGAAGAGAGGGTACATGGCTTAGTAAGAACAGGCCCACCATCCTGTTGGTGGGATTGGAGTACAGCTTGTGTCTTTCCACCTCCTGCATCTTGTAGACTGGAGGGTGCCATCTCTCCTGATGCCTGGCTGGCCTTTCTCTCCTAGATCCTCAGGTTCTAGAACTTACAAGCTCTTGGAACCAGGACAGGGAGGTCTTGGACCACCTGCCTGCCTGTTCCTCCAAGGTCTTAGGCCTGGCATTAACAGCTGCAAACTGGCTGAAGGTCCCAAGGCTGGCACAGGTTACACTCTCCCCTTCTGAGAACTTACGAAGGATTCTCTGATGTAGAGAACAAGTGTTTTTCCTACAGTAGGGTTGAAGTTGGAATGGCCTTTTCCTGAGTCAGCTTGTGACATAAGCGTTTATCTTCCCTCTCTTGGACAGAGTCCTGATCTAACTAAGGTATGCCAGTTTTCTTCTGCCTGCCCATCAACAGCTCTATGTGAGCAGTGGCCCCAACAGGGCAAGGCCATCAGGGCAGGGACACACTGACCTGCCCCCAGGTTCCTTGTACAACTCTGGTCACAAGGAGGCCTTTGAGTCACTGAAACATGACTGTGTCTACCTGGGCCAGGGCAGCTTCTGTATACAGCCACGGTGGTCTAAAGGACAGAGGCAGGCAGGGGAGTCTCCTGTCACACACCATGGCTTCCAGCACCTGAGTGAGGTGATGGCTGACCCCTGCTCTATCTGAGCCAGTCTTTATCATTTTTTTCTCGCTTTTCATCCTGCAAGCTACCTCAGATCCTTTGGTGGGGTGTGAGGCAGAATATAAGTAAGATTTAAAGTACAATCTGTAAGGGTTTTTTTTTTTTTTTACAAGTGTCTTGACAGGCAGATTGAAGATTAGGAAGTACAAGAAGGGAACCCCTGAATTGGCAGCTCTCCTGTCATCTATCAGTTAACTTGAGCCACACTCCCCACATCTGGTGCAACCAAACTTAAACTCGGGGTCTCAGACCCTTTGATGGGTTGCATGACCAAACTGTAGTCAGTATCAGTCTTGGGGGGCTGGGATGTAGCTCGGTGGTACAGCGCTTGCCTAGCATGCACGAGGCCCTGAGTTCGATCCCAGCACCAAAAAAGACAAAAAAAAAAAAATCAGTCTTGGGGGAGAAAATCTGTGGCGATAAGGCATGTTCAGGGGTAAGTGCTGGGCTGTCAACTCTCTTAACTGCACACGTCCTAGGAGCCAAAGGGCAGTGCCTCGTAAATCTAGGGATCATGGATTCTCAGGGCTCTGTCCTGGAGCCCTCACCAAGGTGCACTAGGGGAGCTGGGGGAGATGTGAGGCTGTGAACAGAGCCTGCCAGATGCCTTGGCCAGAAGGTTCATCCCACAATTCTCAGGTTTGTTGGGTATCCACTCAGCCGAGTCTAGTCTTTGACTTTTTGTGCTTGGCATTGAACATGCTCTATCAATCACTAAGTTACATTCCTAGCCCTCTCTCCTGATTTTTGACTGCAGCTGTATATACAATTTAGCAGGAACACTTTGGTCCCCAGGGCCAAAAATGGGTAGCAAAGGCAGCAAGTGCAAAAAAGGACAGATACAGTTCACACTAGAAATACGAATGCTTTCCTTGCCCCCAGATGATGTTTCCACATAGCTATACTTGATGACTTTTTAAATAGGTGGCAGTTCAGGCACACATGGCTTTAAGTCCCTCACACAGTGGGGATTCTGTCTGTCTGCGATCCCAGAATGATGGCCCAGGCCCCAGTTACAGAAGAGGAATGAAGCCTGTATGTGTGTGGTGCCCACCCCAGGCCCCATCCTGCTGCTTCCCATGGTGCTTCCCAGTACCATATGCAGTGAGTGAAACAGACACCACATCAATTGACCATGGGCATAAAAGTTTAATCAATTTCTCACACAAGGTAGTAACAGCAAGTGGTAGGGTGGTGGTCATGCACACGGCTTCAGGAAGTATAGCCTCATGCACAGACAGAGCCACTGCACAGGGCAGCAGACGACCAGCCCCAGAACTTGCCCCCATCCAAAAAGATATCCCAGTGGTTCTGGCGAACTGTGCACCATGAGCAAATCCTACCCGGCAGACACTGCAGTGCTAGGTTGAGGGAAGAACCCTCCCCAGAAGCCAGGTCCAGCATACAAGGTGGTGGAAGCCTCTTGAACAGTGGTTGGTTCCACACCAATTTCTCCAACTACCCATGGGCAGCTGACTGCTCCCTGCTCTCTCCTTTGTCAGCACCGAGGTTCTACCCTGAAGTGTTAGCCTTGGAGAGGGATCTCACCTCTCCAAGACCCCTTGGAGAGGGGTCTCATCTTCAATTCCCCACCAGGCTGCTGAAGGAGCAGAGCAGAAACAGCTCCTCTGGGCCCAACTTTTTCCAGACCAGACTGTTACACTGATGGCACGGGAGGGAGAATAGAGCTTGGCCTTTTGTGTACAACAGGAAGTGCACCTCAGGACATAGGTGGGAGGTATCAGGAGGGCACAAATCCACAGAAGGGCAGTAGCCCTACTCTAGGCCCCAGTGCAGGATGGGAATAATCCTGCCAGGAACAGTAGCTGACCCATCTTCAGCTAGGCAAAAATATCCTCAGTATGTCCTCTAGATGTGAAACTGACCAAGGACAAGTTTCAGTTACTAAAACAAGAGAAGGCATCAGCTAGTTTGGTTTGTTATTTTTTCGTTTGAAAAAGCAAAATGAAGCTAATCCTGTATCAGTCAGCTTTGTCCTAACCAAAGCCTCTGAGTCACAGGACACAGATTCCTCCCCAATGTTCTTTCCTGTGGTCCCAGGTCCAGAGCACCCATATAGCTCCTGGGAGATTACAAAGGGCTGGGCCCGTCTGGGTCCTTGTCCCATATACCTGGAGGTTCTGCTCTAGGACGAGACAAAGGACAGGTAGCTGTGAGAATGAAACCTGAAGGGTCTGACTCTTCCCAGAAGGGCCAGGGGGCAGAACTGGGTCAAGAAGGCCAAACCGGGCTTGGCCCTATCCTACAGGTTCTATAGAAACACAGGTCCTTAAGCTTTCACTATGGTTATCTGCCCAGACCCCAGAATCCAAAGGCTCAAAAATAAAGACTTAAGCTCATGGCAAGATGTCTATAAGGTTTCAGGGGAACCCAGCCGCTGGATCCACCTCTGCTCACCCTTGGTGGGGCTGGCTGTGCCTATCCATGTTGCAAACTCTGCTTTTCTTTAAAGGAAGCCAGGATGACATCATAGGCTCCTAGCTCCTTCCTTCTTTTCCCAGCCCTCAAACCACTCCCTCAACCCTATCGCCTCTCCTAGAAACAGCACTGAGGAAAGTAGGGACCACTAGCTGCTGGCAGGATGTCTGGAATCTGGTATGAGGTACAAATTCAGCCAAATAAATGCCCACTGGTCCCAGTGCATGGAGCACCTAGTCCTTAGGGATGTTAGGGGGTGGGATCTGCAGGTCAGAGGGCTCCACGCCCCAGATGTCCCGTGCATACTCAGTGATGGTCCGGTCACTGGAGAACTTGCCAGAGCAGGCGATGTTCCTGATGACCTTTTTGGTCCACTCTCTGGGGTTCTGTGAGGAAATAAGAGACTGATTAATCTTTGGCACCTTCGGCAAAGCTAAGAACTTCAGCTTCTAGAATTCAGGACTGTTCCCAGGTGAGCTCTGGGCTCCTGAATAGCCTGAAGAAGAGGAAATTAAATCATGGGCTCAGAGAAAAGGGGCCCCTTCTGACCAGGAAGGCTACACTAGATAAGAGACAAAGAGCCTAGGAGACGATCTTGGCCCTCAACATGGCCCACGTTATTAAGCAACCCCACCAGGTGGATCCAATGGCCTCAGAAGGCCAAGCAATTTTCTTCAGCCAGGCTTTAGCCGGTCATTGTTCCCCCAGAGCCTCCAGCTGCTCCACTCTGTAGCCAGCACAAGGAGGGGCCTCCCAACAGGGCCAGACTCCTAGAGGCCAGACCAGGTTGAAGGAGGAAGGTTCCTCCCAGGCCCCTGCTGGTTGGCTGTTTCTAGGCTTGGCTATCAGTAGCTGCTTCCCCAAGACAGGAAATGACAGGGCAGCTGACTTAGAGGCTGATGGGGCCCACTGGTGACAAATCAGAAACCCAAACCCCTGTGGCCTCAGCCAAGAGCCTGCTTTCAGTTTGGGAAATAAAGAATCTGACCCAACAAGTCCATAGAAACTCGCCTAACCACTCCCTGCCGGCCTCCAGGGCCCACAAGCCTTACCCGGTACAGCTGGTCCACCTGGGCCTGGCACTGCATGTAGGCTTCATAGTCTGCAAACACTTTGAACCTGAAACAGAGACAGGAGACTGGGCCAGGGCACCAAGTGACAGCAGGCAAGAAGCCCTGCCTAGAGCAGTCTGTGTTGTCCCAGGAGTCAGTCCCTCAGCCACCACAGGAGCTGCCCACCTGACTCTGCCTCTCATGTGTCCTCTCAGCTTTGTTGGGGCCAGGCTCTCCCAGATTCATGTGGCCACAGGGTTTCTCTGTGAGCAACACTTATGTCCTGGGAATGCTGTTTTAGGAAAAAAAGCCTTATTTCAAGCCCAGTATTCCTTTAAGGAAACTGGCGTTTACAGTGCAAATGCCATGGGCAGTTAGAGATGCACAAGCCTAGAGGCATCTGTAAGCCTATTTCACCTGCCACAGCTGAGGGGCTGTTCTGTTGGACAGCATCTCCATTTAGTACCTATACCCAAGACAGAACTGAAGAGATGGGAAAAGGTGATTTGTGGTTTCTGATGTTCTGGACAAAAATGCAGATTTAGTTTATTATTGCATCAGAAGCACAATTCATAAAATTCACTATTTTAAATGTCCTCCCTTCATCACAGGCCTCAGCAGGGTCCAGCTTCAGCCCAGATAAATGTGTGGGGTCATGATCTGGTCTTACTAAAGCAAGCCAGTGACACGGTCCTCAAAGAGCAGGAAAAAAAATGAAAAACAAAATTAACCCAAAGGCAACTGAAAGTGGAAGAGAGTTGAATCTCACCAGATTCAACTTCTACCAGCAGGGTAAAGAACTGCCACGAGATGCAAATGGCTCTGCCAACCTGTTATATAACTACACATCAGTTACAGCCTATGTTAACTGCACTACAATAAAGTGCCAACTACCTTGCAGTGTCACCAGTTCACTCCATTTTAATTATGGCGTAGCCCCATTTGACACTTGCCTTAGTTCCACTGCCTTCCCTGCTCATTCCAGGCTGTCCTGTCCATGCTCCTCCAGCGCCCTCTACTGGTCTCCAATCAGCCCAGGGCCATGTCCTCCTGCCTGTCCTCCCACAGTCACCAAGAAGCCCAGGGGCTGGTGTTGCTGGCCTGTCTCCCACTGCCTGGAGCCCCCAATGCATTGCCAGAAGCCCCCACAAAGTCTGGACCTGGTTTTACCAGTGACTTTTGGGTAGCCTGTAGGTCTCCTGGGCTGTTCAGACCACCAAAAGGACCTGACTATCCCAATGGGGAGGACTGAGCAGGGAGGCCAGAGCAAGAGAAGCGTGTGCCCCACCTGTCATGGTCCATCAGCATGTTGACCACATCCTTGAAGCAGTCTGGGTCCTTGGGAGAAAAGAAGCCACTGCTGATTTGGTCTATAGCCTGCCTTAGTTCAGGCAGGCGCTCGTAGAACTCTCTGGCATTGTACCTGTGGGGAGATGGCGTCTCTTAGCACATGGCATTCCCAGGGCAGCAGCCTCAAGTGGACCCAGTTTGTTTCTGGCATGGCCCCTGCCTCAAGATGGTCCTGGAGGTCCAGGGCATTTGGCCACAAGTGGCTACCAGGCCCTTGAGAGGTGGCTGGTTCGAATGGTGACATACTATAAGCCTAACATCAATTCCACATGCTTCCAACACTGTTTAAAGAAATGCAGTTACTAGATGTGCAATTATATAAATGGTTCACATTGTATTGATGAGGCCCAAACTGCTCACAAACTTCCCTCACTGTGAAATCTGGGGCAGAACTTTTAAAAACGGAGAGGTTGTCCTGAGTGTGGTAAGGCTTGAGATGATCACCTTTGGCTAGATTGCGGATGAAGAAATAAAACCAGATGAGACAAGATCAGCCATAGCCATCAAGAAGCCTAGGAGGAGTGGGGAATACCTGCAGATGCAGGTCCCAGGACACAGGATGGGCAGAAAGAGCCCAGGGAGGGGCAGGTGAAAACCCTGCACAGGCATGTGAGCTCTCTGGGTGACAAGGACACAATGTTTTAGGCCTAAGGTCTCACTGACTCCTCAGGAGCTTTAAAAGGCAATTAGACAACACTGCCTTTTAAAGATTATTCCTCAGAATGAGGCTAGGACTCCTCATAAATGTGACGGTCATGGAAAAAAAAAGTAAAACCAGAAATTTTTGGACCAGGAGACGGAGCCCTGATAAGCAGACACAACAGGGTGCCCTGGATGGGTCCTAGGGCAGAAAAGCGCATTAATGAAAAAACCTGGTGAACTTGGAATACAACATGGACTTTAATAGCTAGCAATGATGACTTAATTCTGACAATGAACCATAATAACTGGTAAAATGTAAACAACAGAAAACTGTGAGAGGGATAGATGTAAGCTAGACTCTGTACTGTGCTTGCTAATTTTTTTTTGCAAACCTTACAACTTTCAAAATTAGGCTAAATTGACCAGATGCTCCCTGCAATGAAGGTGCCCACCCTCCCCCTGACCCCAGTGTCTGGGGGCTGCATCCCACTGTACCTAAGGTGGTGATGTCACTCTTGGAGCCCCTTCTCTAGTGGTGACCCACAAAGACCAGGGCCTTCAATGGAAGGGGAGCCCTTGGTCTGGACTCCATGGACTGTCATGGAGACAAGTGCAGAAGCAGCCGAGTTCCTGCCCCAGTGGCCTCAGTGGGATCCAGCTGCTTCATGCTCAAGAGGGATCATCTCAGTGAGCACAGCCCTTGGACAGGCAGCCATCCCTGCCCAGCCTCAGCCCCACCTCCCAACCACACTCCACAGTTCCCTCCCCCAGATCTACCACACGCCAAACAGCACAGGAGGGGACTCGCACCCTTTCTGGTCCAAGGCCTCAACATCCTCTACCCGCATGCCAAAGATGAAGAGGTTTTCGACTCCTGCCTCCTCAGCCATCTCCACATTGGCACCGTCCATAGTGCCGATGGTGAGCGCCCCGTTGACCATGAATTTCATGTTGCCAGTGCCCGAAGCCTCTGTGCCTGCGGTGGAGATCTGCTGCGACAGGTCGGCAGCTGGAATCACTGGGGTGGGGGAAGGGGGAGGTCAGCTCCAGGCCCTGCCATACCACACTCCCTCCTCCAGCCCAGGGGACAGCCTGTCTCTGTGGTGAGTGATCCCAGGACAGAGACCGCCATCCCAAGGATACCAAGCTCACTGAAAGACAAGTCAGCCCTGGGGGACCCAGAAACTGGACAACTGTTCCCCTCCTGGTTCCAAAATGGCCACTTGCTTTTGCAGGGCCCCCTTTTCATGAGGCAGAAGGTTCAAGATGGAGACCACTGAGAAGACATCCCCAAGTGGCATAGGATTTTTGTTCTGGAACTTTCTAGGGAGCAGGCCAATCCAAGTTTAGTGGGGATCCCAATCCTGGCTTACAGACAATGTGGTTCCTTCATCTATATGACACTGACATTCAACTGTCCCCTAAGACTCCTTGGATCATGCCAAGAAGAACCAAAATTCCTATAGAACCAGAAGGCTGGGAAGGCTGAGAGTGATTCCTGTGTTCATGTGAGCCCTGAGTAGGCTCTGTAGCCACTCAGATACTGTGTACTCATGGCTCCTCCCCAGCTTGGGCACTCTGTTCTCATGACGGGGTATGCTGGATGCAACATGTCCCTTGGGAAGGGACTGACCAAGACCATGTCTTGGCTAGACACCTTGGTCTCAAGAGTTCTTAAGCCATGGCTACAGCTGCCAATGCCCTCTTCAGGAGGGAGGAAAGGCAGGCCTCATGGTCAGTTGTCATGGCAAAGGCATCTCCAATCCCTAGGCCCCACAGCCCAGCTGTGTATTGCCTGGGCAAGTCCAAGGAGTAAGGGGCACTGACCCTGGGGCTGAGGCCCAAAACTGGTGCCCACTGTCAGTTCTAAAGATAAGCAGGGGTCAGCTGGTCTCAAAATAAGAGTGAAGAAGGGTTTAAGAAACAGAAAGTGCAGGAAGATGCTTTAGTGAGAAATTTCTGGAAAGACTGCCAACTTGCCAAAGTTCCCACCCAAAACTCAGACAAAGCCCAGTCCCTCCCCTGACTCGCCAGGACCTCAAGCATGCTAAGTAAGTGTTCTACCACTTTAGATATGCCCCCAGCCCTTTTTGTTTAGTTTGTTTGGGTTTTTGTTTCTGAGATGGTCTCAATTCCTTTGTCCAGGATGGCCTCTAATATGCAATCCTCCTGTCTCCACCTCCCAAGTAATTGGGATAACAGTTATGTGCCACCATACCCTGCTCAAGTCCAGCCCCTTAAACCTGCCTGGGACCCTCATGCACCATCCACCCAACAGAAGCAGAAGCAATGCTGGGTACTATTGCAGCAGCCAGACCATGGGGATGGCTCAAGTGTACCAGCCACACTCACAGGAAAGCAGAACAAATCAGCCTGCCATCTTTTCTGTGACAGCCTGGAAAAACAGCACTGGGCAGAGACCAAGGCACACAGGTACACCTGACCTCAGTGGCAGGAAGGGAATGGGAATCCCAGGCTCAGCTTCCCCACCATAAGTCTAGTTGAGATTATCAGTTTTTTGGCAAGAAAGGCCAGCCAGGTCAGAGTGTGCTCACAACCAGGGGTGGGGGGTGTTTCCCCAGGACCACCTCAAGACTGAACTCTCCACGTTGGGCTCTGAGCTACCCTCAGATAGGACTGAGAGCAGGTGTAGGCAGGTGAGAAATGCACCATGCTCCTGGAAGCAAACAGGTGGTGGTGAGCAGGGAAGGGAAGGGGAGAAGCCACTGACTGGGTGCACGTCCTGCAAGCAAGAAGGACCCAGAAACAGAAGGCACAGCTGAGAGAAGGGTGAAGGGAGGATGGTAGGGAAACAATGAGACCAAGGCAGGTATGAGAAGGTCCAGAAAGCAAGGACATTCCAGACTGGGTGGTAATTCTGTCTATAATATGCAAAGGCTCTCCTTGGTATGCTGCAGTACTCCTGCCAGAAGAAGCACTCCCTGAGACCTTTCCCTGCTGGCCTGAAGCCCCATCTGGGTGGGATCTGAGTGTCCAGGGCACAGTGAAGCTGGCCTTGGCCAGCACTGCCCACCCTATCCAGCCCTAGGCAAGAGCGAGGCTCCTGTCCTGTGCAGGCATCCAGGGCTACCTTTCTCAGCCAAGGACACTCGGTAGTTCTCCAGGAAGATCACTTTGAGCCTGTCACCCACAACTGGATCATGATTGACAACATCGCCAATGGATGTGACCAACTTGATGATCATCTTGGCCATGTGGTAACCGGGAGCTGCCTGGAAAGGAGAAGTGAGGGTTAAGGGTTCAGTACAAAATGCTTTGCTGAGGTCCACAAAGGAGCCTGGTTGCATCTGGTAGCACTGGTCAAACCTCTGACCAGGCCTGGTAATGTCGGACCACACTGTGGTCCCACTGATGTTGGGGAAGGGGAAATCCTGGCTCTTCCAGGAAGCTCACCTTCTACTGAGCACTCCTCATGAGGTCACCTCACTTGTGAAAGCTGTCAGACGCAAGTTTGATTTTCTGACTCCAAATAGTGTCTTAACTCTTGAAATTTCTTAAAAATTACAAGATAAGATAACTTCTAGAACTATTAGTTTACAGGAACTACAGAAAACTGAGGAACATACTGGAACATACCAGAGAGATATATTCAAAAAGGCCAGCCTCAAGATAACAACCCAATTTCTATTAACAAATGTTTTGAAAAGAAAAAAAAAAAATGGGGCAAAAAGACAAAAAAAAAAAAAATATATATATATATATATATATATATGGGCGATGTAGAAGGAAAAACCTGTTGGTTAAGAGACATATCAACAGATCTCAATGCAAGGACCTTCCAAAGGGGTCCTGATTAAAACAAACAGTTAAAATATGTGTGGGGTTGGGGATGTAGTTCAGTAGTAGAGCACTTGCCTAGCATACACAAGGCCCTAGGTTCAATGCCCAGCACTTAAAGAAAAAAAAAATTGTAGTTTAGCTGGGCAGTGGTACACATCTGTAGTCCCCTGCTCCAGAGGCTTCGGGAGCTTAGGCAGGAGGATCTTAAGCCCAGGAGTTCCAGGTCAGTCTGGGCAATATAGCAAGAGAGACCTTGTCTAAAAATAAAAATAACATTTGTAACTTTTTTTTTTTTTTGGTCATACTAGGGTTTGAACTCAGAGCTTCATACTTGTGAAGCAGGTACTCTATCACTTAAATCACTCCTCCAGCCAACATTTGTAACTTCAATGAGACAAACGGGCATTTGGTCCCTGAGTGGATGGATATTTACTGATGTGGAGGAATTCTTGTACAGTGATGGATGTGTGGTGATGTTTAAGAGTGGCTTAGGAGAAAAACCTTGTTTCATAAAGATGGGCGATGAAGTATTTAAGAGTGAAGTATCAATGCTGCGATCCACTGCAGAGTGGTTCCACAGAAGTGTGGGCATGGGTTTGTGGATAGAAGCATATCTTCCTATTTTTCTTAAGGTTTAAAGCTTTTCATAGCAACATTTTATTATTTATTTTTTATTTCTTTTATTCATATGTGCATACAATGTTTGCGTCATTTCTCCTTCCCTTTTCCCCACCCCCTCTCTCTCCCCACCTCTCTCTCCCCCACTTCCCCCCACCCCGCCCCTATACCCGGCAGAAACTATTTTGCCCTTATCTCTAATTTTGTTGAAGAGAGAGTATAAGCAATAATAGGAAGGACCAAGGGGTTTTGCTAGTTGAGATAGGATAGCTATACAGGGAGTTTACTCGCGTTGTCAAAGCAACATTTTAAAACTTTCAAAAAAGTCTATCACTATGGGCTTTACACACTGAAATACTGACTAACAAAAATGCATGATTTCCAAAATTTGTTTCCAAAATACTAGGTGACAAGGGTGAACAGAGACCAAACAAGGTGAGGTAAGCAGGTGCTGGCCTGAGGAGGTGTCCTCTCCCCTGAAGCTACCTTTGCAGGTGCTAAAGTTTGAGGACAGGAGAGCCTTGCAGGCCAAAGAGACACACCTGTGCCCACCTCACATATGCCAGTCATTTCCTGTCAGAGTGGAGCCCAGTCTGCAGGTGCCTCACAGAGAGGGGGTGGTGTTCCAAGGCAGCCCCTCAAAATGCAGCTGCACTCCAAGCAGCCCACATTCTGTGACAGACCCAGGCACTGGCTGGGCATGAGGAGGTGATGACATCACATCAACTACTCAGAAGTATGTGTCACAGGGAATAAACAAACGAAAACCATGCTGAGCTCAGAGTAGCCTCATGTGGTTACTCTGGTTTGACATGGGCCAAAGTTACCCCATGTCACTTTGGCCATGGTGCACCATGAAATCCTGGGCGTACACAAAGAAAAGTGCATACCCTCTAATAGGGGTGTGGCCATTGAGTCTGGGGATCCCTGAGTCCTGTAAGCTGGACAGGCAGGATCCCATCCTCTTCCTTCATATTCAGCCAACCTGTAAAGGGTTCCTTCCCCACTCATGAACCCCTTATGACCAGGTGCCACCAGCATTCTTTGTGTGCTGCCACCTGCCTTCTAAGTGGGGGGTCATGTGCTCATCCTGGGCCCAGAATCAACAAAAGAAATGAAGTCACCTCACCTTGCCCCCGATCATAACAGTCCTGGGCACAAAGGCCTTGGCCGGGTCCTTCTTTATTCCTGCAGAACAAACAGGAGATTCAAGTGAGGCCACCTGAAAGCAGACCACCCCTGCCCAGCACGCTATGGCGACCCAGCAACCTAGAGATCAATCTGGAGTGTGGACAGGCAGGTTCAGCAAGGCATGCACTTTGGTCTGAGGGCACAGGTAGGTGGTAAGCAGCATGTGGCCATGGCCCTTGATATCCGCTAGGAACCTGGCACTTACAGGAGGTCGAGGCCACCCTTCCTGGTTTGTGAGGAGGGCCAGCCAGGACCACTGATGACGAACCGTGCAGCATCTTGAGCAAAGACATTTTTTCCTGAGGGCTCTGAAAGAGCTGTACCTGAATTTCCACCAAAGCCCAACCCAGCAGCCTGTGTGGCTCTGGTCACTGGTATTCAAGGCCCTTGTATGTGAAGGGCACCCATGTTTCTAAAACGTATTTTAAACATGCTGTTTTGCCAGGCACTGGTGGTTCATGCCTGTAATCCTAGCAACTCAGGAGGCAGAGCTCAGGAAGATCACAGTTCAAAGCCAGCTCTAGGCAAATAGTTTGCGAGACCCTATCTCAAAAACACCATCACTAAAAGGGGCTGGCAGAGTGGCTTAAATGGTAAGAGTGCCGGTTAAGAGCGCCTGCTGGCTTGAGATCCTGAGTTCAAACCCCAGTGCCCCCCAAAATAAATAAATAAACAAACAAACAAACATCTGGCTTTGATGACATAGAGAGGGGCCCTCACTATTGTGGTTTGGCACCATCAGCCCTTGAGGGGTTAAAGGTGAGACTTTAAGCCTCCCTGTGACATGGGGTGTGCTACTGTTAGGAAATGCCCCCTAAAAGGCCCATATTCTAAAGGCTTAGCCACTAGTACATGGTGCCACTGAGGTGGTGCAGCATTTAGGAAGTGGGACCCTGTGGAAGGACATTAGGTTGTTTGGGACATGTCCTTAAAGAGGATATTGGGACCTAGCTCCTTCGTGCCTCTCTCTGCTTCCTGGCTGCCATGAGGTGAGCAGACCTCCTCTCCCATTTTCTCTCACAATGATGTCCCATGGTTGACACAGGCCCAAAGCATGTAGACTAAAACTTCTGAAAGCCTGAGCCAAAATGAACCTTTCTTCCTCATAAGTTGATTCCCTCAGGTATTTTGTTACAGTGATGGAAAGCTGACTATCACAGTTTGAGAGGCCCCTCCTGCACAGACATGGACAGGAACAGAGCCACAGTGGTTGGCTCATGTGAGCCCAAGATCCGGGAATGCCTCACCAGGCTGAGTCTCAGATTTCGGTTGGGAGTGATGGTGTCCACAAAAGGACAACAGGCAGTGCTAGATGCCATGCACAGGCCAGGAACCAGGTGGGGCAGTAAGGAGTTTGGGCTTAGTCTGAGCTAGGAGAGACTTGGGGAGACAAGACAAAAGGCACAGGGAAGTGTCACAGGTTGAGAAAATTTGGCTCTGGCCCATCAAGAGGAGAGTCTGGGAGTTGCCCGGCACAGAGGAAGTTTTCTAGATAGTCCTTGGCCATCTGACTCACCCACAAGAATAGCAAAAATCAACACACATGGTTTCACTAAAGACAGTGAAAAGTGGAACTGACCTCCTGCACAAACTATCAACTGGGAAAGACCACACAGACATAGCGCAAGACCCTGGGGAGGTGACCATGCAGACAGGAGATAGCAGGGCACAGGAAGGAAGTGCAGCAGGAGGGAACCAACACCACGTAACAGGACAAGGAAGGTTTAAAAGTGTTCAGTGAGAAGCCAACCACAAGGAGCAGTGAAATAACCTACGATATACCTCCCTGAACTGCAGAACACCAAAATGACAGAACCAAACAAATGTTCTAAATGTCTTTCAAGAAAAACCCCTTGAGCTGGGCGCCAGTTATCCCAGCTACTCAGGAAGCACAGATCAGGAGGATCTCGGTTCAAAGCCAGCACAGGAAAATAGTTCATGAGACCCTATGTTGAAAAAATTCTTCACAAAAAAGGGCTTGGTGGAGTGGCTCAAGGTGTAGGCTCTGAGTTCAAACCCCACTATTGCAAAAACAAAGAAGAAAGAAAGAAAAAAAGAAAGAAAGAAAAGAAAAATTACTCAAAATAATACAATTAATTTACTTGTTCGAAGAACACCAAGCGTGGAGGAGAAGTGGCCAGTGTAGTCAGCACCAAGAATAAGCTACACACAAGATCAACTCTCACCCTCAAGATGGTGGTTTGGGAGCCCAAAAGATGCTCCAGGAAGAAGGAAGCCAAGGTTGGCAATATTAGCCCAAATGCCCCTCACTGTGGAAGGTTACAGACTACACTGAACAAGGGGGGTTGGGCAAGGTTGCCCCCACAGGCCCTTGTTGTGAACTAGAGGCAAATCTGACCGGCAAGTCGGGGCTGAGCCAAAGGACTGGCAGTGAGCAATGCATGTATCTATCTGTAGGCTGAAATGAAATGAAGTCAGGGACATGAGATCTGGAAGTGTCAAGGCTGTGTGCTCTGATAGTTGGGGAGTGAGACAAGTACATACAAACACATGCAGGCACATGGAGCAAGGAGGAAGAGGAGGCGGGAACAGCACAAGCCTGCTGGCTGCCTTCCCTAAAAGCTGGGAATCACAGGGCATCATTCAAAGCTAACAAACCAAGCAGGAGTCAATGGGTAAGGAAAAGCACAAAGGTGCTGGCGATGTGGCTCAGGTGGCAAGCACGAGGCCCCAAGTTCAAATCCCAGTACATCCAAAAAAAAGAAAAAAAAAAACCCTAAAGGCAAACACTAAAAGGAGAGGCTGCAATTGACTGCAGGTGGGGGCTAGAGTGGGAGGAAGGGAAGAGCGATCAGCAATTCTCACTGCTGCTCACAATTAGGGGACCAGGATTTACAAGTGGGGACTTAGGGATACAACAAGGGAAATGCCAGATGTCACAACTGCAGAAATAAATAGGCAATGAAAACAAGAGACTAAGGTTCCCAAGAACTACTGTGTGGCCAGGAAATCACATGCAGGCTCACGGGCACGGCATCCAGAATCTATCCTAGTATGGACGTGGCTTAGAAGAACCCAGGTGGTTCCCTCCATTGGACCCACACCTCCAGCCTTTTTTGTTTTTGTCATTTTTCAGATAGAATCTCACACTTTTTGCCCAGGCCAGCCTCAAACTATGATTCTCCTGCCTATGCCTCCTACCTCGCTAGGATTACAGAAGTATGCCACTATGCACACTTTGTTTTTTTGAGGACAGGCTCTTGCTAACTTTTTTTTGTGCATGCTGACTTTGAACTGTGATCCTCCTATCTCTGCTTCCATGTAGCTAGGATTACAGGTATGAGCCACCCAGCTTGAGATCTGACATTCTTGAGGAAGTTTTGTATGTTGGAAGAGTATTTACAGTACTTTTGGTTTTTAAGAATATTCATTTTATTATGTTACAAATTTTAGAAACCTAGTTTTTCCTAAATGTTCTATTTCCTTATTTATTTACCTACCAAATATTCACATTTACTTTTAAGGTGTTGCTGATGCATGTTTGTTCTCATAATTAAATATCTGTAGGCAATTTAACCTATACTTACAAATTTAACATATGTATGTGTGAAAAAATATATGTGTGTATATATATAATTTTTTTTTGTGACAGAGTCTTCTATATAGCCCAGGCTGGCTTTGAATTTGAAATCCTTCTATCTTTGCCTCCCAACTCCCAAGTGCATGTGTTGCTATGCACAGCTTACCATTTGTTTGTTTTGTAGTTGTTTTGAGATAGGGTCTCAAAAAGGCTGAGCTGGGACTTGCTATGTAAACCAGGCTGGCACCAAACTCACATCCTCCTGCCTCAGTCTCCCAAAAGCTGAGATTATAAGCGTGTGCCAACATGGCCGGTTTTACTATTCTATTTTCTATACATACATGTTAAATTGCTTGAGTAAGCAGTCTTTCCAATCAACATAAAACTTGTAGAAAAAATAAGTTTAAAGTAAAAAAACCACCACCACCAACAAAAAAACTTAAGACTCTGCCTTGGAGCCCTGCAGAGTTCCACCTACACCAAGGTCTCAATGGATTACTCCTGGCCTCCACTGAGGTTCCACAACCACTTGGGTTCACCTGTTCCTATACTTCAGGCTGTGGGCACTGAGCACACCAAAACATGACCATCGCTCAAAATAAACATGCCATGTCAGACACACACACACACACACACACACACACACACACTCTGATTGTGTGAGGAAGGAAGGCCGGGGGTCCCAAGATAAGCTGGGAGCAGGAGCAAGGCTTGAAGCAGCTGTGGGTCTAGAGGAAGGGGGTGGCCCAGGACCCTCACTCACGGTTGTACAGGGTGACGATGTGCAGGCAGTTGAGCAGCTGCCGCTTGTACTCGTGGATCCTCTTCACGTGCACATCAAACATGGAGGAGGGGTTGATCTTCACCTTATACTCCTGCTCCAGGAAGGCGGAGAACTTCAGCTTGTTTTCCTGGGGAGAAGGGATGGAAAGATGGCTGCCCAGTTCATAAGAACCACTCTAGGAGTGCTCCAAGGTCCTAACAGCACTCTAGCTTTCCGCTCAGCCCAGAGAACATCTCTTCCCATCAGCTAATCAGTGGGGACAGGATGGCAGGTTGAGACCAGAGCCAGGGGCAGAGTCAGCATTGGGAGGACCAGGGAAGAGAGGACCAAGGGCGACACTGAAAATGCATGCACTGGAATAAAAATGGCAGAAACAGATGAAAAGCTACTAGGCCAGTGCAAACCTGCAGCTAAGCAGGAGAGCAGAACAAAGGGAAACAGTGAGTGTCATATGCAGGCAAGGGTGAGGCACAGGAAGTGAGAAAAGGTTTTAAAGACTAAAATGGAAAACTGTTTGGGATCTTTAAGATCCCACCGCTGCCCCATGGGCACTCAATCAGGCACTCATGGTGCCTCAGATACACTGAGCAACACCACCAGATGTCACCCTGTGTGGATATCCAGCTCCTGGCAAGGTTTGGAGCCTCCAGTGACCCAGCCCTGATCTGGTCTAGGGGAGGCCATGGACGCTGCTCTCTAGGATGGAACTGGAATCTCACTGCAGGCAGCTTCCCTACACATCTGCTGCTGTGACAGCGAGCAGGACAAAGCTGGAGTGGCCTGGGGTCTGCAACATCTGCCTACTGATGCTCAAGCTCATGCAGGTTCTCATCTGGAAAGCTGATTAGAGACCTGATATCCTGACCCCCAAGTGGCCTTTCCAAGTCCCTTGGAGATGCTGCATGGGTCTACACAGATCCTGAGTCAGGGGTCTGAGGGAAATAGACCGGGGCCGTGGGGACTTACCTGCTTGACTTTGGCCACATCTCTGATGAATACCTCATCACTGACCAGAGGCAGCAGTTTCTTCAGTTGGCTCAGGTCAGTCAGGAAGCCTTCCCCAATTCTCTGGGAAATGTAAAGGGTACATATGACTTCTGTTCACCGTGCCTTGGCCTCCACCAGGCTGTCCTGTGTGTTGCCCCACACCTCTGCTTTCCCTGGGATCTGTATGCCTCTCTAGGCCCTCACAGCATCCCCTTCTCAGGACAACTCATACCCATAGCCACATGGTCACATGGATGGAGCCCTGCCTTCTCTATCATGAGACTGGAGCTTACTCCTTGGTGGTGCTGCTAAGAAGTTCAAGTTGTGCCACCTCAATTGTCTACAACAAACTCATGAACCTCCCTCAGGCCCTGACTCCCATGGTCCCTGACTGGGACTCGATCACAGGCTGACACATGGGGCCAGTAGGACAGGTTCTCCTTGCCTCCTCCACCACTGTGAACAGCAGCAGTTTCCAAACCAACATCTCTTCCAAGGTCCCCTTCTACTAAGGCTCCTTCTACTGGCCTGTTGTTACTCCAGCCTCTCTTCACTTATCTTGCCTGTGGGGGAAGCTGCACTGGCCTTCCAGTACCCACAGGGGCCCTGGTATTGTCCCAGATCTGCCCACAGCACTGCTTCCAGTGGAAGCCCTCCTTGACCAGAGAGCCAGCAGGCAGTCTCTGCATGGCAACCTCACAACTCTACTCTTCAAGGGAGGCCGTGGGCATGGTGCTCACAGCCATCTATGCAGGCCAGACTATAGCACAGGACCTAGCATTGAAAGCAGGTAAATAAGGAAAGAAGCTTCTGACCTCTACCAGTATGGTCAGCCTCTTCAACAGGAGGCCTGTGACTGCTGCTTAGCTATATACCACAGCCCTTCCTGAAGCCCAAGCATGCTTCTGAACTTGTACATGGGGCCAGAACTGCACTGACTTGCCTTTGTCCAGCAGCCTCATCTGCTCATGTCTAGGTAGGGCTACTGTTTGTCAACATGCAAAAAAAAGAAAAAAAAAGATTCCCACCATCCACTCAGTGATGGGCTTAATGACCCTGCTCAGTGACAACTACAGCATCTAACTTGGCTTCCTATAGCCTCAGACCTGGTGTCTCTGGAGGACACAGGGCAAGGCTAGAGCTGGCCATTGGTGGCTCATGCCTGCAATTCTAGCTACTCAAGAGGCAGAGATCAGGAGGATCGAGGTTCGAAGCCAGCCTGGGCAATCAGTTCTCAAGACCCTATCTCAAAAAAACCCATCACAAAAAAAAAGGGCTGGTGGAGTGGCTCAAGGTGTAGACCCTGAGTTCAAGCCCCAGTACTGCCAAAAAAAAAAAAAAAAAAAAAAAGCAAAGCCAAGACTCACCTCCACGATGATGTCTGCCAGACCTGGGTTGCACAGCAATAGCCACCGCCGGGGTGTGATGCCATTAGTTTTATTCTGGAAACTTCTCTGGCTCCAGCTCATAAAAATCCTTAAAGCTACAAACACAGAAAATGGGGAATTGTCACAAAGCCTGTGTTTTGAACCAGGTGCGCAACAGAATATAAGGAGCTTTCAGGAATTCCCTGGGAGGTCCTACAGCTTGGTTGGTTGTTTTATTTTCTGAAGCGTGCAGACCAATTACCATCACTGCACACCATGGGACCAGCCTGAAGGCAGCATGTGTCTACCACATACAGCTGTGGGCAGTTGCTGGCTGTAACCTCCTAGGTGTTATACTTGGCCATTTTCCAGAGGTCTACAGGAAACAGTGCAGGTTATGACCATGGAGACTGAAGAAGCTTCAGATCTTGGGCCCTGGGCTTAGTTGCCTCATCTGTTAAGCTGGGGAAATACCCAACTCAGAAGGTCTGAAACAGAAAACCCCTGGGCCCAGCCCCAGAACAGACTGACATAGCTGAGGCCCCTTCCGTGCTGCCCAACCCAGTCATCGTAGACAGTACTCAATGCTCATCTGATAAAGAATGGAAGGAAGAAATTCAAATCACATCAAGCCCTGGCTGCCACTTGCCCAGGCTCTGCACACCTGGCCCCAGGTCTGGTATCCACGGTACCTGGACAGCAGCAGAAGGACCAGTAACTCTGGGCTTCTGATCAGACTGCCCAAGAAAGCAGGAAGCCTAAGAAGAGCGAGTGGTGGAAGCAGAGAAAGCTATCTCTCCAGTGTCACCCATACGTCATGGGTGAACCTGTGAGGCAGTGATGTGGTGGGTGCTCTGGGTGGCTTTGTCATAAGCCGGTCAGTGGTATGAGGACTGTGTGAAGGACCTTGGTCATGGTGTGTGTGGCGGACAGTTCTAGAGCTGGGCCTGGTTGTCAGGAAGGATCCACCCCTGGCTCACAGGGAGCCCCTCACTCACACAGACTGCTTCACAATCTCAGAGTGGATCCTGGCTACACCATTCACGGCATGGGACCCGATCACACAAAGGTGAGCCATGTTGATTCGCTTGCAGTCCCCTTCCTCGATCACAGACATCCTCCTCAGGCGGTCCACATCCCCAGGAAACAGGGCGGTCACATGCTTAGATTAAGAACACAGAGGATGGGTGAGGGCTGAAGACCCTACAGTGACCCAGAGGCTCCCCAATGACAGGGGATGTCCTGCCACACCTGTGGGGAGTCTCACTGCCTTCAAGTAAGTCTAGGCGCTATGCTCCCATCCCAGAACCTGCCCCAGATACACTCACAGGAACCCAGATCCTAGAAGGACTATCACTTCTACATACTTCACCTGGAAAAGGCCTGGCCTGGACCCGCAGGCCCACTCTATCTGAGGACAGACACCAGCAGGATGGAACTGTGCCATTTAGATTACAAGGAGGAGGATGGGCCAGTGCCTGTCAACCTGAGCAGCACTCTTACTAGCGGGACAGCTGCTTTCTCATCCAAAGGCTAAAAAATACACAACAGGGCTGGGCGCAGCTCAATGGCACAGCACTTGCCTACTGTGTGTGAGGCCTTGGTTCATCCCTAGCACCACACACACAAAAAGGCACTATAATTACTCCTGAACTCAAGTTCCCTCTGCTCTTGTGCAGTTAACACAGGAAGGGCAGAGGGAAGTTTGTTTCTGAATCGTCTGAGGCTATCAGGATGCCCACAGGTAGGCCAGGAAGAGACACTAGTTCTACAGCCTGCTCAGGAATTGCACCTTTTTTTTATTTTTGTGGTACTAGGGTTTGAACTCAGCCCTTTTTTGTGAAGGGTTTTTTTGAGATAGCATCTCACGAACTATTTGCCTGGGCTGTCTATGAACTGCGATCTTCCTGATCACTGCCTCCTGAGTAGCTAGGATTACAGGTGTGAGCCACCAGTGTCTGGCTGGGACCTTTTTAAAATGACCCAAATCTATGACTCCCACAGTACAAAGCAGAGGTCGATCAAGGGGCAGCTCAGAACTCTGCCAGATGACAAGGAGTAAAGCACCTTTTTGCCCAGGCTGGAGGGGTGGCGTCAATGGTGCAGGTGAAGCCCTACCTGGGCTGGTACTCATGTTCAGGTGCTGCCATTCTGGTTGATGATGTGTCCTTGCCTCCCCACCCCCATCCCCCAGCCATACTCACATCCAGGTGCCTCTGGTTGATGGCATAGATGATGTCCAGGTGCCGAGGCAGCAGCTTCTCAAACATGGACACAGGCCAACGCTCCAAGGCCTCGGGTAGCACAGTGTGGTTGGTGTATGCACAGGTCTTCTTGGTGATTTCCCAGGCCTGGACATTTGAGAACAGCATGTTAGTTTTGATAAGAAACAGACACTTAAGCAAGACAATGGTCTAGGATCATAGGCAGACACTGAAGCCACCAGAACAGCCCAGTGGCACTGTCCCTACTCCAGGGCTGGTCTCCTTTCTCCAAATCTGCAGTTCATCCCAGAGTCCCTCACTTTGTTGACATGACCTGCCTAAGTTTTATACTCTGACTCTGTGTGAGGTGGAAAATAAATTACCTGATCTCTAGGAATCACCTTTTAAACTTTCCTCTTTGCAAACCCTTTCCTATTGGTAAGCTAACAATGCTGATCAGTTTTCCATTTATTTCCACTAAGCTCACCTGACACCTATAGTGTGGCAGACACTGGTTACCATGTGGCTCTGCCCCCTGCTGACCAAGACTGAAGGGGCCCAGTGACCAGGAGCAGCCTGAGGGTGTGCACATGCCCTAAGGTCAGAGACTGGTTTGTGGTTTCTACAGATGGAGGAAAAAAAAAAAAAAATTGCCTCTTTTTCTTTTTTGCGGTACTGAGGTTTGAACTCAGGGCCTCATGCTTCTAGGTGATACTGCAGTACTTGAGCCACAACCAGCCTTTTTTTTTTCTTTAGTTATTTTTTAGGCAGGGTCTCCCATTTTTGCTTGGAACTGGCCTCAGACTGCAATCTTCCTACCTATGCCTCCCACATAGTTGGGACCATAGGCATGTACCACTATGGCCAGTTTGTTGGTTGAAATGGGGTCTTGCTAACTTTTTGCCCAGGCTGGCCTTGAACTGTTATCCTCCTGAGTAGCAGAGATTACAAACATGTGACACTACGCCTGGCTCCTAAAACTATGTATGTCTTATAACTTAACCCTTCTTGTTTTTGTTTTGTTTTTTTTGCCAGACTTTAAGACAAGAAAACATACACAAGAATCACTAAAAAGTATCAGAATCCTGTCCTTGTCAGTTCTGCCCCCAGCATTCTTGTCCCCACATGTCCCCATCCCACAGAGGGATCCAGACTCCTGGATCCAGACTCCTCCCCGGGGCCCTGGTGCTCTTAAGGATACAGTCTCTGATCTCCTGAGGCTGGAGGGAAAGGCCCCACTTGCCAGGACCAACTCAACCTATCACAACCATGGTTGGCCGGGCTCAGGGTCTACGGAGGACACAGTCATCCTGGGGAAGACGCATCTTCCTTCTCATGCTCACCTTGTCCCAGTCTACCTTCTCCACATCCACCAAGATCCGCATGAGCTCAGGAATGGACAGGGCCGGGTGGGTGTCATTCAGCTGGATGGCCACCTGCAGTTCACAAAGGTGTCATTCAGGGTCTGTGTATACAGTCTGCAGTGTGAAGGCCCAGTCCAGCAGTCCCACCCAAAGAGCCTGAGAATCCATAAGGGCCTCAGGGAAGCAATCAGGAGGATGCTGCCAGCTCCACAGCCAGATGTGCTCTGCAGCAGGCATGGAAGGGGCTGTAGGACCAGTGCCCCGCCCCTGCCCCAGAGCATTTCCCCTCACCTAGCATGAGGCAGCTTTGTTTAGGATGACTCCACTCAGCCTGCCAAATGCATCAGGCTTTGCCATAGGAACCTTTTACAGTGTCTCCCTGCCTGACTTCTGACAAGGCCCAGTGTTGCCTTGGTCCTGGGAGAAGACACTGGGAGCAGTCCTGACCAGGATGCTGAGACATGGGACACACTGCCAACTTGATCTAGCCCCTCCTGGGACATGAGGAAGAAACCTCATGAATCTGAGAACATTCTGTCCCTTTGGCACTGAGCTCACTACCCATCAGTGACATACCTTGTCAGGGAACGTCTCAAAGCAGGTTCTCACTGGGTCTCGGCAGCCAAACTTGGATGACTTAAAACGGCGAATGATGTCCTGGAGGGTGGCCGCTACCACAAAGTACTCCTGTTTCAGACGGAGCTCCTTCCCCTCGAAGAACTGCCAATACAGGGCTGCTGTGGTACCCATGGCTCACAGGAATGGGCCAGTCACAGCCACAAGACCAGAACCTGCTGGATGCAGCAGGCTGGGAGGGGGACTGCACAGCCCACTTGCCCCTACCATCCTGGGACAATTCGGATTCCCACAGGAGGCCCAGGACAGATGTTTGGCTAAGTTTATAGGCAGAAGGTAGCCAAACCCAGTCTGACACCAAGGTCTACAAGACGCCATCAGAAACAGGGAAGGAAGAGCAGCCAGCACAGGATCACAGGGCCTGAGTGACAAATACCAGGATACAAGGCGTCCAGGTCATCAACAGTGAGAGGGCCAAGCCCACGAGGAGTGCCAGAGATACTCAGAAACAAGTGTCCACCACTTTGCAACTGAAGCTCCGGAATGTGTTTAAATCTTATTGGTGGGGGTGGGAGTGGGGGTGGAGGGGTAGGGGGAGTGAAGCACATTTGTTACAAGCCTTTCAACATCAATGCCTTTGCTACCCTGCGTCAGATTACTTTGATAAAATAAAAAGTTTCACTTTAAAAAGTGTACCACCAACAAGACAGGCAAATTTCAGTGACTTTTTTAGGGGGTAGGGGTTGGGAATTGCATTCTAAGCACACACTCCACCACTGAGGTACATCCCCCTCAAGGACTCCTGTCTGACAAAGACAACAATAAGCAATCAGACTCTAAATTCAGGTGGCTTCATTGAATTCAGTTCTACCAAACACCTCTAGGGATCACTGCAAAATGGGTGCTGCCACCCCCATGGATCATGGAATCCTTGGGAAGACATCATGCACTAGAGGGACATTCATCCTGGCCCAGGGTCTAATGGGCTTCACATGGTGCCATTCTCCACTATATGTGGGTAGCATCTCCCCGGACCCAACTAAGGGGATGACGTGGAGAGGCTTGAGTGGCTTGCTGAACTTCATCAAGGACAACTGTGCCTGCCCTATTACTCCAGTCTTGACTGCACTCCAGTCACTGGTGGCCACACACACACAGCCTCACCTCACAAGCCTGTCAGGTCAGCAACAGGCTCTGCTGGAGGGCTGGGTCTTCAGCTCACCTGTCTACACTTGAAAGACCTGGTCCAACAAGGGTCACACACTAGCTACTCACATTGTCGTTGGGATACAGGACCCTGGAGATGTTCTCTGCCAAGTTCCTGTCCAGGACTGCTTCAATGTAGTCCCCTACGTTGACTAGGGAGAGACAGTGCCTGAGTTAGCACAAGTCTCCACTTGGCCCCTCGGGACCTTGTTACACAAGCCCCACAGGTGCTCAGTCACTTTTTCAAGAAGGCTGAGAAAGTGTGATCTGAGCAGGGAGTCCCCAGAGCTGCTGTCATGCTCCATCTTATCCCCTTCAAGAGGGATGCTCACAGCCCCCTCTATGGCACCCCCCACCCCATGTACATCCCAGCCCCTGGCTTTTTTCTTAAGACACATGGTCTGAATGACTGTGACCCTGGCTGGCTGGGGTGTCATGTTCACTCTGCCTTGTGCTCAGAGGGAGGTGAGAGAGGTTCAGACGCACCTAGCCATATGCTTCAGAGATCCCAGGGGCTATGCTGGCTGTTCCAGCAGAGAGAAATGCAGACACAGTATTTGGACTAAGTCATTCAGATAAAAACAAGAACAGGGTAAAACGTACAATCCTGCAGCTTGAAGTCATTGGGCGCCTTGGCAGACCAGAGCCGCATGGTGTTGACGGTGTTGTTCTTATAGCCAGGCACTGGGGTGTCGTAGGGCATGGCGAGTACCACCTGACCATAGGGAAGAGACACTCAGGGTTGAGTCAACCCCCTTCCTTCATCGGCCCTGCCCCCATCCCCAAATGGGGCAGCTCCAGCCTCCCTGTAGGCACCTGGCCCACCTGCTTTCCTCCTCCACCAACCTGTCCTTTCTGCTGAAAGCACTCACCTACCTGGTTGAACACTCAGCACAGAGTTGACCAATGCTCACTTAGAGGTGCTATGCAGTTGCCCTGAGCAAGGGCCACCTGGGACCACTCTCTGGCCATACCTGTCACCTCCCAGCTTTACTTCCTTCAGTATCTACGTCAGCTGAAGAATCTTCCTGCTCTGACGGCTCAAAATGCTGCAGAACTAACCACTGCTCCCCTCCCTCCTTGGCCCTGACCTCCAATCCGTCTCTCTTTTCACCTACCCTGCTTCAGCAATTCTAGGACTCAACTAACTTCTACTAACAGACAGCTTCTATTTCTGACCTCCACTTCTTTAGTGTCTTCAACAAGGCTCTTCCTGTTGGATGCCTTAACCCCTACCCTCCATGTACCTGAATCAGCCCAGACAGTAACATGGCCATTTTCCCCAACCTACCCTGGTGTGTTCCCGCCTTGCCAAGCTCCATGATTCTCATCTGTCCTAAGGCATTAGCCAAGTGCAGGAAGAGGCCTAATGACAAACTCAAGCTCACCTGCAGCCCTTGGACTCGACTATAGATGCACCATGTTCAGACTCCCTGTGGCAGTTCAGACAGCTGTGCAGCTTTACATAGGCCCTGTACCAGGGCCACCAGGATTAACATCTGCCATCACTTCTCCCTTCCTATCTGCTTCAAGTCTCACCCCTGCCCCACACAGCCTCATCAAAGTGTAAAAAAATTGGGTGTATGAAGAGAATAAAACCTCCCCTGGTTTTGCCTGAAGTCCTCCAGGGAAGCAGCAAACCCACTCCCAATGAAGCCCATATAATGACAAAGAAACAAAGCGTAGGTCCCCTTGCTCAGCCATAGCCTGTTCCCTCAGGAGTCCAGGTCTTGATACCTGGGTGTCCAGCCACTTCACCCCCTCAGGGGTGTGCTCCACTCTCCCGTAGAAGTGCACAGGAAGCATGTATTCCGGCCGAGCTTTCTCCCAGGGGTTGCCATAGCGTAAGCCAGTCATCAGCCTCTTCAACCTATGGGGCAGCAGGGAGGAGTTTCTATTACCCCAGTCATTTTTCCCTTGAGACTGTATTTACTACTCTTCTTTTTTTCTTCTTTGGTGGTACTGGGGTTTGGTCTCAGGGCTTTGCACTTGTTAGGCAGCCACTCTACCACTTGAGCCACAATGCCAGCCCTAAGATTGTACTACTCTGATGCTATAACTCCTCTAGTCCTAACCCCAGCCGTGCTTCATCTGTAACTTTTAGACTATGAATAGGTTTTTTTTGTTTTTGAGACAGGGTCTTACTAAGATGCCTAGGATGGCCTCAAACTCATAATCTCCTGCCTCAGCCTCCCAAGTAGTTGAGATTACAGGGTTGCACTACCACCTGATCCCAGATGATATCAAATAAACTATTCTCCACTCAAGTGGAATAGCTTGACTTCCATTCTGAAGTGCTGTCCCTGGCCTAGGTAAGTTTGATGAGACCAGGCCGTCCTCATCAAAGAGGTTCTGACTGCCTTGCCTGGCTGCAGTTTCATGCTTTTAGCATTGAGGTTCCCCTCATAAGGGCCACTGTGCTTTGAGAGTCTGGCCACAGATCCCACAGAATTTTATCTCCTCACTGGTGTCAGAAATAAAGACAGAAGGTAGAAACAAAAGCTGTAACAACTGCTTTTCTAACTACTCAAAGCCAACCACCCCACAGGATGAGCTACAAGAGCACCACCCTCTACCCTGTATTTGGGTAACCCAGAAACCAGGACAAAGCTTATAGTACCCTAGCCCTCACTGCATGGGGCCCTGCCTGGGAGCTCCTGTAAGGCTCAGTTGGGCTTCTGTGTCCTGTCCCACCTGACTTGCCTATTACACACAGAAACTGTTTGCAAAGGGCTCATACAGGGACCAATCTGGCCAGGACCACACAGAACAGCTGGCTTCCCTCCTGTTGCACTTGGCCAAGGACCAGCCTCAGGCTCTCCAGGAAGTGCAGAGCATGAAAAGCAGAACTGACAGTGTATCTGCTTACTTTCATTTATGAACAAGAGATGGAAACCAGTGAAGACACTCAATCCCACCTACCTGCCAGCCATTGACAATCTTCTGGTTAAAAATCCCAAATTCGTAGCGGATTCCATAGCCATACGCTGCCAGGCCCAGGGTGGCCATTGAGTCAAGGAAACAGGCTGAAAAATCCAATCACAGATCACAGACCATCAGCAGATTGAGGCTGCTGAGAATCAAGACTCCACTGGGACATGGCCTAGGGGTATCATACAGGAAGTAGTGGTGACCACAGCCAGGTCAGGTTTCACCAAAGGGAACAGCGGAGCCCCTCACCCCTCACCCTAGAAACCTGGGGCCACACCAAAGAAGTACCAACGCACGGGTGTGGGAGGAGGGAAGGGAAAAGGTGAAGAATCCCACAGAGCTCATGGTGAGGCCTAGCACCCCTCTATAAACAAAGTCCCCTCCCTACCAGCTCTCTCAGCTGTGTGCACTGAAGCGTAAGGCCTCCCTACCTCTCCACACACACAGAACCCTCCCTACATGCTGTGGGTGTAGGCCCAGAAATGGGACTGGTGGTGTGTACTTCATAGCCCGTAACACTTAAAACACCATCGGGTATTTGAGTGCCACCAGAGTCCCTGAAGGTGGTTGAAGCAACGTGTCACTGAATTCAACCCTTGTTCCAATCAAAACTTCTTGAGAAACACAATGTTTTAAATAAAGATTCAGAAGGAAAGTTTATTAAACTTCTGGATTAAAAAAGAAGTGCTGGGCACACAGCTCAGTGGTAGGGCACTTGTTCAAGCATGTGGAAGATGCTGGGTTCAATCCCCAGCACCACAGAAAAAAGGAAGCAAGGAAGTATGTGTGTGGGGGGGTGGTAGGGAAATCCCACATGGAACACTAGCAAATAAAATAACCATTTAATTCACCAAACTTCAGACACCTGAATATTAGGTACTCTGAATATTAGGGAGACAGGTGAGGAAGATGTGCAGATGAAAGACCCAGGTTCTTGTGCTGGGACTCATGCTTGCAGGAGAGAAACACACCAGTTCAAGCCATCGTTGGCCTGGCGCTGCCTGGGTCTGTCCTGATGGGTAGAAGACACTGGGAGGGAAAGAGAAGTTGTCATCCCAGGTGTAGGCCACACCAGAGACAAGTGCAAGGAAAAGTGCCTAGAAAAGCTGAAGGAACTGAGAGTACTCCAGTGGGTGAAAATCTCCAACGGCAGGGGGCAGGTCCAGCCTGCTGACAGTGACCTACTGTGAGGTCAGAGGTGGGGTTCACCAGACAGTCCCAAGGCTGTCACAGGGTTCATTAAGGAATATGGATCACTTCCCAGCCTTTTGGCTAAGATCAAGTGTAGTAAGTACACATGTACCATGGTAGAGACAAAGAAGGCTTCCTTCTATCTTAGGAAACCAGGTTCTACATTTACCGAGGAAGGACAAAGTAAGAAGCTGGCAATGACCAATCCAATGTCATGGGGGTGGGAGTATGGAGTGGCTGAAACCCTAGCAGCTCAGTTTCTGATGAGATAACCAGGCACACAGCTCATGCTCAGGCTGTGCTCTGCTGGCTTGGACATGGTCTCACAGAGGGAAGGCAAATGACAGCAGGACATGCTTGGCCTGAGCTGCTGCATTTGAACACTGTTTTGTTTGAGAGAAACATGTTGCCTTTAGAGACTTTAAAGAATTTAGGTAAAATTTGAAAACCTAAACAATTCCCCAAGATACATTTTAGGATGTATCTCAATTTATAAAATGCAACTGCCAAAAGAGGCTGGGACATGAAGTGGCTGGGTGCCAGAACACCCACATCCCTCTACACACATGGCCACAAAACCAAAACCACTGTTTCTAGTCAATATTCTTTACCTTGCTCCCTCAGCCCAGAAAGACTGGCAAATATAACTAAAGTAGAAGACACCACCACCAGGATGCTCTCAAGTGTGGTGGCTGGAGGGAGCTATATGCCTGAAAAGGCACGGCTGTTATGTCAGGGCCATCTGTTTATTACACTGGAGCTGTAGCTGCTCACTGTATGTGGGGATTGAAACTCAGACTGCATTTCAATACCTCTGACCTACTCCCAAGTACTGGCTTTTGGACCATGGAAATCCTTCAGCATACTGGGAATTTTCTTGGCACCAGCTAACCCAATGCTGGCAAGCGTGACCATCATGATAATTACAAAGCACCTTGTATGAAAGATAATGTACATTCCCCCCTTTTTTTTTTAAATCCAATTAGTGACAAAAATTTTGACCTGAAGAACAGACTCACCCATCCACTCCGAGGGAGACCAATTTACCCTGACAGGTCAGTGTCAGAAGCACACCTTGCTTTGGTGTCACCATGTGATCCTATGCCAAGCCAAGAGTTTAGAAAAACCTTATCTTAGACAAGCACTGCTTACCTGCGAGCCTCCCCAGGCCCCCATTCCCAAGGCCTGCATCCTCTTCTATTTCCTCTAGTTCCTCCATGTCCAATCCCAACTGTAAACAAAAACAATATTACAGCAGGATGAAAGATATTTAAATCTTGTGAGCTTAGACCAAAATTGAGGGTCTTTCTTTTAGACTTAAAAATCCAATGTTGAAATTTAATGTTGATGATAAAGCTAGAGCACACAAGGAAGGTATGAGGATAGGTAAGACACCCAAAAAACTAATAGCATATGTTGCCCTCAATGCAGAGAAACTAATGCAGATACTTTAAAGCAACTGAGTCCAATAGGAGAAGGGGACCAGGAACTAGAGAAAAGGTTAGATCAAGAAGAATTAACTTAGAAGGTAACACACACGCACAGGAAATCAATGCAAGTCAACTCCGTGTATAGCTATCCTTATCTCAACTAGCAAAAACCCTTGGTCCTTCCTATTACTGCTTATATGCTCTCTTCAACAAAATTAGAGATAAGGGGAAAATAGTTTCTGCCAGGTATCAAGGAGGTGGGAGGGGAGAGGGAGGGGGCGGCGGGGGGAATGACCTAAACATTGTATGTACATAAGAATAAAAGAAAAAATTTTAAAAATAATAAATAAAATAAAATTTAATGTTGAACTGGTGCACAGAAATAAAAGTTTCCAGGTATTTCAAAAACTTCTAACAGTGAAGAGTCAAAATTAGACATGTTTACCGGGATGTACTGATGCTATGATCCCAGTACTTGGGAGGCTGAAGCAGGGGGGATTGTGAGTTCGAAGCCAGCCTGAGCTACATAGTGAGACCTTGTCTCAGAACAAAAGTAAAAAATAACAATAATAAAAAAAAAAGAAAAACCCACCATGAACATTAGACATATTTAATACCCAAAGATATTTACTGGCAAGTTATCAACCTATTTATAGTGAACAGATTGTAACATATGGCCTAAGTATGAAACCAGTGGTTTGGTATTTGGGGGTTTTTGTTTGTTTGGTTTTTGTTTTTGAGACAGGTTCTTCATATGTTGCTGAAGTCAGCCTTGAACTCCTGGGCTCAATTGATTTTCCTTCCTCAGTCTCCTGAGTAGGTGTAATTATAAACATTCACCCAGCTCAAAACCAAAGATTTTTAATAATTCTCTAATTTCACATGGCCAAATGATATTTAAGTGACAGTTTTTAAAGCAAAACCTAATAAACTTTTCCTGTGTTTATTTCAATTATATTTTTAAATCTTGTGAGACAGAAGCTAGGTATGGTGGCTCATGCCTATAATCCCAGCTACTCAGGAAGTGGATAATGAGAAGACTGAGGTTCAAGACCAGCTTGGGTAAAAAGTTAGTGAGACACCCATGAATTAAAAAAACAAAACAAAAAAACAGCTGAGTGTGGGGTGTACACCTGTCATCTCAGCTATGGAGTAAGCATAAATAGGAGGATCAAGATCCAGGCCAGCCCAGGCATAAATTTGAGACACTATCTGAAAAATAATGAAAGCACATGCTCAAGTGGTAGCATGCCTGTTTAGCAAGTGTAAGGCTCTGATTTCAAACCCCAATACTGCTGGGGTGGGGGGCGGGGAAAGAGAGGAAAGAGAGAGAGATCCTATCATTTAGAGATACCTACTAAAATACGATGTTATGATGTTGGCTTAAGTAACTGAGAGTGCTGGGGTTGTGTACAAGTAAAGCACAGTTGGCCGTGAGTTGGAGTTGATGACTGGTGAAGCCAGGTGATGGGTAGGTGGGAGAAGTTCATTGTAACAATCACTCAATTTTTCTTTGTGCTTACTATTTTCTACAGTGAAAACAATGTTTAGTGTGTCATTGATAAGCTCAACCAGGAGAAAGCTGCTTCTTTTCAAGTAGCAGTTTTTAGAGTAAACTGCCTCCTGAACTTTCTAGCCCTGTATGATGCACTGTGTCATATTTTCTTTTCAGTATTACATTATAAATGGGGGTGTGGGGGTGGACAAGGGGCCTTTCCTGTCCTGTGTCATAATTCCCTTCCCACCCAAAGCATCTGGCACTCTTCCCCATCTGATATCTAGAAGGACCTAGCAAACATGGATCTGGAGACACTAAAGGTCCAGTCATCACCAAAAACTTTCAAATCCAAGATTAACTAAAAGTTAATGAGTGAAAGATCAAATTTAAGAAAAAAAAAGTAGAAAGTTTTAAAAACTTCATGCTTACCTTTATTTTCTTAGTTTCTATAAATAACACATTATTTGTATCTTATTATTTATAAACAGATACTATGTATTTACGGCACACACAGTGCCTGAAATTTCTATTATATTTGTGAATTGTATATAGGGAAAATGTTTCCAAAAAAATAGTTTATGCAAGTGTAAAATTCATACAAGAGTAAGACGCTATATAATCTGTACTCCTCACAGACACACTCTAATGTTACTATTTAGTAAACAGAATTTAAATGACAAGCCACCTGCCAAGGTGACCTCTACCTTGTTCTACCATTTGAGTTTAAAATACCCATTTGAGGGAGTGAACTATTTTGTGGCAACAACTGAAACTGCATGCTGCAGACATCATTCTTCATTAAGCCCTTGTAGTTTGGGCATGAAAGGTCCCCTGAAGGCTCGTGTGTTAAAGGCTTGGTTCTTGGGATGTGTTCTCAATGCAGCAGTGTTCAGAAGGTGGAGCCTTGAGAGGTAACTGAATCCTGAGGGCTCTAACTTCATCAATGGGTTAATTAATGGATGAGATGGACTATTCACGGTAGTGTCTAGTTAGAGGAAGCAGGTTCCCTGGGCATGCCCTTAAAGGGTATTACCTTTTCCCTGGTCTCTTGCTTGCTCTCCCTCTGCTTCATAATTACTATGAGATGACCATCCTCCTTCACCACATGCTCTGCCACCATGATAGTCTATCTTGCTTCAGGTCCACTGAAACCTCTGAGACCATGAGCCAAAATGAACCTTTCTTTCTTTAGGTTGTTTCTCTTAGGTGTTTTGTCACAGTGATGGAAAGCTGACTGACCCGGCCCTGGAGAGGGAGATGGGGATCCCCAGCAAGGCTGAGTCAACTCATATCCATGCTGAATTTATGCCCCAACAAAGCTCCCCAAGCTCCTCCCCCCAAATTCAACAAGAACAAAGGTAGGGACGGGTTGCTGGGGAAGGACCCCACCCTGAAGGTCCTCTCACACACATGCCAACAGGGAGGAGGCTGTGGGTTCTCGCTCTAGAACCTCCATTAGAGGTAAGTGTGCCAGGAGAAGGGAGAGGAGGAGACAGAGATGTACAGCTCTTCACTGGGTTGAAAATGATTTGTGCAGGAATTAAGCACAAAGAGAACCCACAAGAAGGCAATGTTTAGGGGCACTTGCTTACTAGAAGCCCAGGAGGTTGTTCTGGGATGGGGCAGGAAGCCAGAGGTGGATTATTAGTTCACTAAAATAGAAGTGGGTAATTACCAACCACCTTTGCCATGTTCTAAACCTGCCCCTGGGGTAGGAGAGGGAAATGCAATGGTTTCTAAAAACTTCCAAACCTTAGCGTTGTGATTCAAAGGAGTCCTTGCGCTCCATGTTTTATCTTCCCTTCCAGTTCCTGCTTTTTCCTCTTGAGGAAAGAGAGCATCATCTATCAACCCATTCCCTTCCAGGGTGAAAAACACACCATAGCACATTACCTGTTCCCAGACAGCAGCAAATCATCAGTGCTCACCTCTGAGGGAAAATGGATTAAAACTTCATTGTGCACAGAAGAGGAACCCAGAAACTCAGCCACGAGGACCCCATACCTGATAAATCGCTTCATCACAAGCATTCTGAAGGCCCAGGTTCACCATTGTGTTCTGCAGCGTCCGGCCCATGTAGAATTCCAGGGAAAGATAGTAAATGCGCTGAGGAAGCAAAGGAAGAATATTAGATGTCCTATTCCAACCCCAACACTACGAAGGCTAGGTGATAAGCATACATGAAGCACCTAGATAGAACTAACACTTACAATAACCCCACAATTACACCACACTTGCAAGAACACTTCTAATGCTCGAATCCCCAGTGACACAAACTAAGTTTTCCTAGACCTGTGGGGAAGCAGGTCAGCCTAGCGCTTGGGAACAAGGCTCCCAGACCTGGGCAGATCAGGCTGAGTGTAGGCTGGCCTCTTATCAGTTGAGTGCCCTTGGGCAAGCTGTATCTTCACATCTCTAACATGGGATTAAACAAGATAAGGATTAAATGTGGCTCATGTCTATAATCCCAGCTACTCTGGAGGCTGAGGCAGGAGAAGGGCTTTAGCTGAGGAGTTCAAGGCCAGCTTGAGCAACATAGTGAGACACTGTGTCCACTAAATAAAGAATAAAGCCCTAAGCACTGAAGAATAAAGCTTCTGAACACATGTGAAATACACCATAACATCAATGCAGTCAGCAGATGCTGGTGGCTGAATGGAGGCACCATTTCCACCAGGCACAAGTCTGGTTTTGCCTGTGGCCAGGTGGGCTGGCTTGGCGTGGGGGCAACACTGCTAGCTCTGTGCTACATGAGTTACTGCCACATAGAACCCAACACTACTGCACAGAGCAGGGCTCTAAGAGTTCTTGCAGGGGACTCAGAAATCAATATCCCTGAGAGTGGCTCTACTAGCTGCTGAGAAGCCTCAGAGCCACCTCAAAATCAAGCTCCCTGTGGCCTGTCCTGGTTTCTTCCCCTCCCAGCACAGGGGCAGCTTTCAGCAAAGTTCCCTTTCTACTTGACCAAATCCACTGAGAGAGGAACCCAATGGCCTTCAGTCTTCTTCCTGAAATTTTGTTAACCAGAAAACACTAAATTGATATATTAGGAACAAAGATAAGTCTGTCAACATGCCTGGACAGATTTTTGTTACACACCATTGTTCTTTACCTCAGTCCCATTCATATGGTAAAGAGAATCATTTACAAACCATCATGCGTTCTGTGAACTCAAACAACTTTGTGGCAGGCCACAAAAAATTCATTACATTCTCTAATGGATTCTACATTGGATCCCCTAAAAATCATTTTCTATTCTTCTAAAAATTTCCTATATCCCCACTTCCCTCTGCCCTATAAAGGGTATTTGAGCTTCAGCTATCTATGGCTCAGAGTTCTTGCTCTTATGTGTGACTTCATGCTGCCTCTTACTGTGCCATCAAAAGTAGAGCCCAGGGGAAAAAAAAAATTGAAGAAGCGACAAATCTTTCTTAGAGAAAAATTCTAACTGATAAATGAAGGAATGAGCAGAACAAAAAAACCACATGAGAATCCCACAGTAATAATAACTGAAGGAGGCAGGAGCCATGGCAGAACGCTGAAGCCAGTAGGCAACAGCAAGGAGTCATCAGTATCTGCACAGCCTCCAATTCTCCAAATATTTATTGACTGTTGCAGTGATTTTAATTAATACCCATACTTCCTCTGACATTCTTCCTTTGTGGAGTTGAGCTTAATTCTCACCTGAGAGAGGGCCAGACTCCATCTCTCCCTGGAAAGTGAGCCATGCTAATGTGAGAGAAACCTGGCCATGCTGATCAGATAGCCACATACAGTGTGGGGAGAAGGGCCCCTTACTTCTGGGGTCTCCCAACCCTAACTTCAAACTAATTATGAGAAAACACTAGACAAACCCAACTGAATGTCTGATCAGTTGTACTCATCAAATTTGTCAAGGTCATAAAAGACAAGGAGAGATCACCAACCACTACAACCAAACTATGCTAAGGTTTTTGGAACTAATAAATGAGTTCAGCAAGGAAGTAGAACACAGATTTATACAAGGTAAGTTGTATTAACTATATAATAATTATGCAAATTAATTATGTTAATATAAAATCCACTGCATTTTTATATTTTAATTTTAATCCCAAGTAGCTGGGACTACAGGCTCATACCACGATGCCTGAACCATTGGGATTGTTTTTACACTAGTAATAAACATTCCAAAAATGAAATTAGGAAAAAGATTACAAAGGAAGGGTAAAATTTGTAAACTGAAAACTACAAAGCAATTGTTAGAATATATTAAAGAGACTTAAGGGGTTAGGGATGCAACTCAGTGGTAGAATTTGTGCTTAGACCATTTGTGGTACAGTTCCATCCCCAGAATACACACAAAAGACCTAAATAAGTGAAAAGATAAATTGGAAAACTTAATATTGTTAAGATAGCAAGGCTCCCAGAATAGATCCACAGATTCAATGCAATCCCCACCAAAATTCCCATTGGCTTCTCTGCACAGATTGACAAGCTGATCTTAAAATGCAAGTAGAGATACAAGGGAGCAGGAACAGTCAAAACAATCTTGAAACAGAAGAATAAAATGAAGGGCTTATGCTACCTACTCTTAAAAACTTACTACAAAGCTGTACCATCAAGACCATGGTGGCATAAGGACATGCATTGGTCAATATCATAAAACTAAGAATCCAGAAAAGAACCCACACATTTATGGTCACTGATTTTCAAAACACTGAGACAATTTGATATCCACATGCAAAAGAATGAAGCTGAAGCCTTAGCTCATACTATATACAAAAATCAACTCAGACTAGATTAAAGACCTAAATGTAAGAGCTAATACTATGAAACTCTTAGAAGAAGGCATAGCAGCAAATATTCATGACCTTGGATTAGGCAATGACAACAGAAGCACATGCTACAAAAGAAAAAATAAATGAACTAGACGGACTTTATAAAAATCAAAACGCTCGTTATCATCAAGAAACAGAACCCACAGAATAGGAGAAAATATTTGCAAATCAACTAACTGATAAAGAATATATATCTAGACTATATAAAGACAACACATCTTAAAAACGGATGAAGAGGGCTGGGGATGTAGCTCAGGAGTAGAGCGCTTGCCTGGCATGCATGAGGCCCAGGATTTGATCCCTACCTAGCACTGCTAAATAAATAATTTTTTAAAAAATAAACAAAGAGTGTGAATAGACATTTCTCCCTCAATACTGCAAATGAGGGATGCTCAACACCACTAATTATTAGGGATCTGCAAATCAAAGCCACCTGAGATACCACTTCACAGCCACTGGAATGACTGTAATGAAAAAGTCACTAGGTAAGTGTTGGCAGAGATGTAAAGGTTGTGACCTTTACACTAGTGGGATTCTAAAATTGTACAGCCACTTTACTAACCAGTCTGGCAATTTCTCAAAAAGTTAAATATGTAGAGTTACTATTTGACCTAGCAATTCCAATTTTAGGTATAAAAATAAAGAGCTATATTCACTCAGACTGGTACACAGTAACTGAAAGGTGGAAATAACCCAAATGTTCATCAGTTGACGGATAAACATGATGTACCACGTGATGGAATATTATTTAGCCATAAAAAGTAACCAAATACTAATATCCATTATAACATAAAAGAACCTTAAAAGCTTTATGTTAAATGGGAGAAGCCAGTCACAAAACACTACATATTATATGATTCCACTTATACAAAATGTCCAATATAGGCAAGTCTAAGACAACAAAAAGTAGGCTGACAGTTGCCAAAGGCTATGGGACAGGAAGTTTGGGTGACTGACAGCTAAAAGGTACAGGGTTTCTGATTAGTGTGATGAAATGTTCCAAAATTGATTGTGGTGACAAATATACAACTGTGACTATATTGAAACCAATGACTTGTATGCTTTAAATGGTAAACTATATATGAATCTTCTCAAATAGCTCTTACCAAAACAGAGAAACTAAAGCAGATACCTTAAAAGCAACTGAGGCCAATAGGAAAAGGGGACCAGGAACTAGAGAAAAGGTGAGATCAAAAAGAATTAACCTAGAAGGTAACACACACACACAGGAAATTAATGTGAGTCAACTCCCTGTATAGCTATCCTTATCTCAACCAGTAAAAACCCTTGTTCCTTCCTATTGTTGCTTATACTCTCTCTACAACAAAATTAGAAATAAGGGCAAAATAGTTTCTGCTGGGTATTGAGGGGGTGGGGAGGAGAGGGAGGGGCGGAGTGGGTGGTAAGGGAGGGGTTGGGGGCAGGGGGAGAAATGACCCAAGCCTTGTATGCACATATAAATAATAAAAGAAAAAAAAAAGAAATGACTTTGTGTGTAGGCTGTTTGCAGTTTTCATTGACTATATTAGTATATATGTCTCTAAATCCTCCATTCTCTGTCATTCTTTCACACATGCCCTTGCAGTGTGGCACATCTTTATTAGTGACAAATTTAATTTACAAATATATGACAGATGGAGCAGAAGGGTGATAATATTTTAATATAGCTTTAGGTTCTCTTATGTATTTCCTTAAGAATAATACATGCTATGTTATGCCATATTGATTTTTAATAATGTAACTGAACTGCAAAGAGACATGCAGAGCCCTTACATTCCAGGTGAGGTGATGTCTACATTTTTCTGAGTGATTTGTATAATAAAACAATAAAGCCAAAAAAAAAAAAAGACAAGATATTGTCAAAGCTGGGCGTGGTGGCATGTGCCTATAGTCCCAGCTGTTAGGGAGCCTAAGGCAGAAGGATCACTTGAGTCCAGGAGTTCAAGACCAGCCTAGTGACTGTGCTGTACACTGTAAAAAGCCTGAAGAAAGGACTGCGAATGATTTTACCATAAAGAAGTGATGAATAAGCCAGGTGTAGTGGCACATGCTTGTCACCCCAACATTCAGGAGGCAGAGGCAGGAGAATCTCAAATTTGAGGCCACCCTGGGTTACACAGTATGTTGGAGTCCAGCCTAGAGTACATACTGAGATCCTATATCAAACATTAAAAAAAAGTGATAAATCTCATTATACAGTATATACATGTATTGACCATCACATGGTCAATGGCAAAAACAAAGGTAAGTATCATTAAATATAAAACAAAAGCAAAGCCACAAACAAAA